TTCAGGATCTGACCTTCCAGTGAGCACTCAGGGCTGATTTCCTTAAGGATGGATAGGTTTGATCTTCTTGCAGTCCATGGGATTCTCAAGAGTCTCCTCCAGCACCATAATTCAAAAGCATCAATTCTTCGGCGATCAGCCTTCTTTATGGTCCAGCTCTCACTTCATTTACACAAATACAAATTGAGCATAGGTAGACACTATCAAGCAGAAAGCCAATGTCACTGCCCCAAATCAGATTTCCGGAGGACACCAAGCACCCTCAAAACATTGTTAGCTTTGGGCAGGCACCCCCAAACTCGGCCCTCCAGATGTTTTTGGTCTACAATTCCCATCATCCCTGTCCACTGGTCCTGTTAGCTAGGGATGATGGGAGTTGTAGTCCCAAAACATCTGGAGGGCAGAGTTTGGGGATGCATGGCTTTGGGCATATTTAGCTAGTATATTCTGCAATATGTAATTGATGCAACAGTAGAGCATTGAAGGTGAATTTATATGGTCCAGATACGCATCCTTGCGGTTTCTTAGTTATTCTGTGATGCTACCTCAGTGTGCAACATTTGAGAGGTGCTCTTTCAACAAAGCACAACAAATGTGAGACAATCCCCGCTTCCACCAGAACATTATAGACACTAAGGGATGACTCGGTCGGTGTGGGTTCGAGCGTTGCAGTGGGCTAGACTAGATGACCCTCTTGGTCCTTCCCTATTTATTTATTTATTTATTTGCATTTTCAAAAACAGGAACAGAGAGCATATTTAACCCTCCTCCCCTCCCCCTGTCCCACTTACAACTTCGTACCAAATACAGAATGTGTACATAGACCATATGACTTCCCTTCCACCCTTTTCCTTTGCTTTTCAACTACTCCGCATAATCCACATCTTTTTTTAATCATTAACCAATTTGTTATCTATTAAAAACTCTATTTCAACTCTGTTATCTATTAAAAACTCTATCTATTTCAACTCTGCTGGATTTACTCAAGACTTGCTAAGCTATGTATTTGTTTATACTGGTTCTCAAAATATTCCATAAATATTTTCCATTCCTCCTTTTAATCCTTATCTTCGTTTTCTCTTATCCTGTTTGTCAGACCAGCCAGTTCAGCATATTTGAACATTTTACACTGCCATTCTTCCTTAGTGGGTACTATCCTTGTTCGCCACCTTTGCGGCGGTGGCGAAGTGGTCCCTTCCAATTTGATTATTCTAAATGGCTAAGAGTTTGAATTTGGCCTTTCCAGATAATGACCTCATCTTCCATGATTTGTGATATGAAAAGTTACAGGATTTCAGCAGGAAGCCCGACAACTTTGCAAGGACTATTTAAAAACGAAGTCATTCTGGCCCCATTAACTCCCCTCAATCCCCTCCTAATCTTACATCAATACCAAGAGTTAAGAGAGTTTGATGATTAAACTTTTAACTTTAGTCCCACTTAGGTCATGGATATTAAATTGGATTAAATGCCAAATCCTGGGGCTTAACTGATTTGTCAACGAGGATGTTGTTATAAGAATTCTAAGGTCTCCAAAATAGAATGTTTATAAATGCAGAAGGCAAACAAATACGTAAGTATATAAAGCACGTGTCTGAAATACTACAGGGGAACAATCCTGAAGCCATTTTGACTTTCCCAAATTGACCTCAATTTTTTCTCTGCAAGGAGGAAGGAAATGGGAAAAGCTTTCCAGTCCAGCTTTGGACTGTAGGGGCTTACACCTCCCTGCAAATACAGCCAGGCAAGTATCTGTTAAGCTGAGCACACTATCAATATGCGTAAGAGATTCAGGAACTAAAGTATTTGCCATCTCAAAGGACTGGCTAGGCTACCCAGAAAATACAGCCAAGTAAGGGATTATCAGGTATCCTGGCAGACAGGAGAGAAGCAACACACTCACATTTCTGCTAGAGACCACCTCCTTCTGTGATGTATGTGTGATGTTTTTTGGGGGTAGCCTTGGGCTATGGGGTGGGCAATTTCAAAAGTCTTTATAGGGGCTTGCGCACCCTTGTTCGGGGTTCTCCTCCCTCCTGCGTGTGGTGAGTGGGGACCCTGTTGCAACAGTTCATTTCCTTTAATAAAGCTCAGGCTTACTAGCCACTTGGCTTTCAATATACTCTGGTTGGCCTTTGCTTTCTCTCCGACCAATAGAGATCTCCTGAGGGACTGTATATGGGCTCTAGATACCCCGTAAGGAAATTAGAGGTATTTTTCTTATAACACTGTGAAGTGTCGATGTTTTAAACAAAAATTGCCCTTTTCCCTTGTGGGGTATCCAGGAGCCCATATAGAGTCCTTACATAGGTTCCCTATTGGTAGGAGAAAATAACAGAGGCCAACCAGAGAACATTGAGAAGCAAAAGCAGCTAGTAAGCTTGATCTTTATTAATCTGTTGCAACAGGGTGCTCCCCTCACACGCAGGAGGAGGAGGAACCCAGAACAATGGAGCACAAGGCCTTATAAAGACTTTTGAAATTGCCACCCTGTAGATCAAGACCACCCCCAGAAACATCATACATACATCACAGAAGGGGTGTAACCTAAGACCACCCCTCAGATACATCACACCTACATCACAGAAAAGGCGGTCTAAAACAGAAATTTGAATGTTGTTTTTCTCCTGTCATTGTTTATCTCCTGTCTGGCAGGTTACTTGATTGGATTTCCTGGGGAGCCTGGCCAGTCTTTTGTAATGATAAATACTTAGTTCCTGGGCCAAGTCACAGGCTCACACCCTATTCAAACACAGACATACCCTTAAGAGAGGATTTGTGAAGGAAAAGACAATGGGGAGGTTTCCCACTTTGACCTTACAGTGAAAACATTTGCTCAGTTTAGGAATCAAAATGGTTCCAGGTTGGTCTTCCTGTGCTGATCTATGTATGTGCTTGGTTGGTATACTTATGAACATTACCATATATCTAAGACTTCAAAATTCCTATCACATCAACATACCGGCAGCAGAAACATCAAGGGTGGAGAGAGGAAAAATATTTCTTTCCCTCCATCTTACCAGCAATATGCATCTCGAGAACGTGTTGCATTAGCTTCTGTGCTGAGCAAGAAGCGACATTTTGGTCTACAAAAGTCATGTCAGGAGTGAAGTCTGTGGCAAGCTTTGTGTGCATGCTCTTGTCACATCTGCAGTCAACGGTGAATTTGCACACTGGCGGGTGAGCTCCCGTTGCTCGGTCCCTGCTCCTGCCAACCTAACAGTTCGAAAGCACGTCAAAGTGCAAGTAGATAAATAGGTACCACTCTGGCAGGAATGTAAACGGCATTTCCGTGTGCTGCTCTGGTTTGCCAGAAGCAGCTTAGTCATGCTGGCCACATGACCCGGAAGCGAGATGAGCGCCACAACCCCAGAGTTGGCCACAACTGGACCTAACGGTCAGGGGTCCCTTTACCTTTACCTTAGAAGACAATAGCAACTTTCCTATGATTATACTACCCAAACATGCTACTTTTCAAGGACTTTCTAAGTTCTAAATTGACCTAATAACATGGAATACAATGATGTGGTATTGTAAAAATTGGGCTTTGGCTTTTGCTGCCCAACTTCCCATGGGACTCTTGAGTCCCCTAAGTCCATGATCAGTCAGAGAAGAATGGATGGAGGCAGAATCCAGTGGAAAGCAAGGCAGATATTAATTTTTCTCTTGCAACAGAGTTCCCTTCCCTCCTTCCAAGGAGGAAGAGACCCTGAACAAAAGGGTGCAGGAACCTTTAAAGACTTTTGACGTTAGCCAAATACCACCCCAAAATCATCATACATAAACCATAGGAGGTGGTCTACAGCAGAAATCCTGTCTGCCAGGATACCTGATAATGGTCCCTGGTTGCATTACCTGGCAGCCTGGCCATTCTTTTGTGATAGTTAATACTTTAGTTCCTGAAACCAGGTCCCAGGCTCACCCTATTCATACACAAAGACAGGAATTGTAAGCAAAAAGACAATGGGAAGCCTTTCCCCATTTCCCTTCCTTACTGCAGAGGAATATCTGAGGTCATTGGGAGAGTCAGAATGGCTTCAGGATTCCTCTCCTGGACTATTTCAGACACACGGTTTATACATACAGTATTGAGATACGAATATTTATTCTATCTTTAAAAAATTTATAGCAGTGCTGAGTCGACTTTGAACATATGCCGCTCTGTTGTCTGGGAAGCTCTAATCTGGCCTGTCTCATTTCATCTGAATTTACCTGCGATAACTGGCGCTTTAAAAATTGCAATTTTTGGCATTTTGCAGGCTCTAGGCTCACGTCCTCTCCACACAGCTGCTAATGTTACAGCCTTATCTTCAGAAGGAATAAGTGAAGACATGACTCTTCCTCTTCCTGAATGACAAACTGCCAATATAATGTGTATATATATATATATATATATATATCCACACACATATATATATATATATATACATACATATATATATTTTATATATATATATATATATATATATATATATATAACATATATATATATATAATATATATATATATATATGTATATAAATCTATACTGTGTGTATATACCTCGCCTTTCCCCCAGCCTGTCTCAAGGTGGCTGATGGATAAAAATAAAAGATAAAAATAAGAACTGCTAAAAGCATAGGGGAAATCCCTGCCCTGAGGGGAATCAAAGAACTAGAAGGATCATCTTCGTCCAACTTTGCCCACAGCCATCATGGGTCGGGCTCGAACCCGCAACCTTTTGATGAACAACCGAAACGCGCTGATCTGTTGTGCCACAGGGAACATTTCTCTCCCGGCGCGTTGGGCTGCGCACGCAGGCCGCCAGCGACCCCTGCTGGTTCCGGGAGGAAAGACTCTTGCGCCGCGGACTGCCGCGCGTTTCAAAAAACGAGCCGGACGAGGGCGCGGAACCTTACCATAGAGCCTCGGGTAGAGGCTAGAGAGGCGCCCACTTCCGATCCGGCTTCTTTCCCCCTCCGGGCGTGCCGCTTCCGGTGAGCGCGGGCGGGGCGACCGGCGGTGCCCTGAGCCGCTTCCGAATCGGTCCGGCTGGCTGGCATCGCCGCCTTCGCCGGAGCTGCCGGGCGCTTCACCTGCTGCCTCCGCCGCCCCGATCGCCGTCGAAGACGGGCAGGAGGTGCCGGTGCCGCCGGGCTCGCTCTGGACCGGGTGGCGATGCTGCGGGGAAGCTGAGCGCGGGAGGCGGAGAGGGAACGGGCGCCTGACCCGCCGCGATCGCCGAGCTCCCGCTCCGTTTTCGCCCACCTGGATGCCCCTTGCTCCCCCCTCGCTGCCTCCGAGGCGCGCAGACACCCCACCCCCCAAGCAGGGGAACCGAGGTACATATATCCCTTCCCCATGTTCGTGGCTTCCCCGACTCTTAAATCTTTTGCCCCGTGACGCTTCCACACGTGACGCCGGTCGCGCCTCTTTCCGCACGTGTGAATGCCGCTCCTGCGGATCAGAACGGAAAGGGCTTTCGGGATCGCGTCGCCGCCGAAGCGGGTTTCGAATCTAGGACGTGGGGACGCGCACGCAAGCAGCTTGTCACAGGGTTTGACATGTTAGAGACCGGGAGCAGCTAGAACGTGGGGACGCGCAAGCAAGCAGCGTGTACAGGGTTTGACATGTTAGAGACCGGGAGCAACTCCTTCCTGGCCTGTGCTGTGTGCGAACGGTGTCCTGTGATGGATGGGGTGCGAAAAAGACTCCAGTGCGAAGCGTGTCGCGTATTAACCACGGTTGTTTTCAGTTAGGCAGCGCTGAACTTGTTCCATTACTAGTGGGGCATTTTGAGAAAGTGGATCTCGCGTGTAGAACTTTTCTGGGAAATGGGAAGATGGCTTTGCAACATCACTGGAATATGCTCTGGTGCGTGGGCATAGGTGGTGGAGGAGGGGAGGCAGCTAAATCAATACAAATCAAGACAAATCAGAGGTGGTCTCCCTCTATCAAAAATACTGGCTACACCCATGTTCTTGTGCATAGGCTCCTCCACCAGACCTGTTGAGCTGCATTTCTCTTAACGCGCAACATTGAAAAAGAGACTTGCGCTAGCAAAAGGACTCTTGGGCCAGTGGATGCACAGCGCTGCATATGACCCCAGACCTGTTCTAAATCTCAGTCTGTGAAAATGCCTTATAAACTGGTTTGTAAGGTCAAACGTAAATCCTAAAATGTAAATGGCTTCTATCTTGCATTAATACTATTCCTGTGTATGTGTAGGGGCAGTATAAGGGAGGCAAAAAGTGCCCTTTGTGAAAATTCCTTTTAATTCTTCTCCCCCATAATAACAACTGATTTAATTCACATTCACAATTGAAGGTCATCATTTATGAAAATTCCTCGAGGGCATTTTCCTTTCCCTGTTGCTTTAATAACCGTTAGGATTTCTGAGAGTATATAGATGTGGCCAATAAACTGTTCATATACACTTCAATCTCGCCTGGAATGTTTGCAGTTTTTATGAGTTTGAGAGTTTTTATAAACTTCTCTCGTGTTCCTTGTCTCTCCCTCCTCTTAAAAGTGTTTAGTTTCACGTTATGCAAATTTGCTATTCCTAGTGGCTTCCCCTTTGATTCATTCTTTCATCATTCCGTTATCTTCTTTGCCCGAATCAGTACCCAATACCGTATAAAAGGATGTCTGCCGGGGGATGTTAATGTCTTTTAAATCACAGTATTCATTTCTGCTATTGAAGCAACATGTGCAGGCTACACTTCTTGCAAGAAATGGGTTTGCAGTCTGGTCTTTAGAACAGATATGTAATGTGTGTGTGTTTGTGTGTGTGTATATATAATGTAAATATATTTCAGTGTCCATCCACTGGATTTGCAATGTAATCCCATGTACACATTACTTTGGGAGTAACTTGCATTGAGTTCGGGTGCAAATGCTTCGTCAAACAGACTTCACATTTGTCCGATAATGAAACCTGTTGCCTTGGTTACTTGACAGATTGCAATAATACTTTGCTTGCTAAAGGAGTAAGCGAGTTGGTCTCTTGTTAAATATTGGAGTCTTAGGTAAAGTGCTGAGAAATAGATGAGAGAGAGAGAGAGGAATGAAAAAAGAATTCCTCGGTTCCTGTGACAGGCACATTTCCTCCTATCTGGCTTTGTCTGATAGGTGGCTAAAGATAATTTGGCAGCTGCTGATAGGCTGCCGTGGCAGAGGAGTGTGTTTTGTGGGGGGAGACAGGTAAGATGGTTGCAGAACAGGATTCCTGTTTGACGTTGAAAAGTTAATGTCCAGAACTGTTTATTTTAACTGACTCACATTGTAATTATGGTTGGGCACGTTAGCACTGTAGTATAGCCTGCCCTCAATCCATTATAACATTGCTTACTGCCTTTTTGAATTCACTGCATGGAAATTGCTTCTTTCACAAATGCTTTCCAGAGGTAGGAAGAGAGTCCCTGTGCTTGGTAGAAATTTGCAGCCTAATTCCACCTTCTATAGGGCCAGTGGATGCTTCTGATGCAACAACGGTCGCAAGCGTTGATTCCTGTCCCGAACTTGGCTGCAGGACGCTAGCATCCAAGACTTGCTGTAGCTTCGTGGGGGCCCATGCCTATGCTTGGATGGGGATGAGGAACCTGTGATCTTCCAGATGTTGCTGGAGTTCAGATCCCATCATCCCTGACCGTTGGGCAGGCTGTCCGGGGCTGATGGGAATCGGAGTCCCGCAGTGCTGGTTTCCTGGCCCTGTGCCAGGGTGACAGAGCCATTGCCACCACCTGTGTCCTTGGCTCAGCCCTCAACTGCATAGATCTGTTCTCCAGCTCTGTGCTATCTGTGGGTGCTGCTGTAGTAGAACTAAGGGTGAGTTATGGAGCCAAGTGTCCCCTTGCAGCGGGGCAGTGGAAACTAGCATGCGATTTAATGCTTTGCAGCAAATGTGTGAGAGGGCATGAATTACACTCCCTTGAGAATTCTCTGATCTGTGATCTGATCTCAGTTTGCTTCGAAAGAACAGGAAGGAGAAAGGCTACTGAATAAACCTCTTTGGCCTGCTAAAGTTAGCCACGACTGTGTCCCAATGGAGCATGTGAGTCACAGCCAATTTAAATCCCATTGCTTTTAATGAAAGCCATGACTAACTTTTAATTGGATCAGAGCCTTTCTCTAATAAGAGGTCTACTGGCTTCTTACATTTATGTTTCTTCTAGGCTTGGCAAAGTGGTGTCATGTGGTCAACGAGTCCAGCTAATCAATACTTACTTAGAATGCTGCTTCATTTCTGCCCCCTTTTAAAGCCGCTCAGCCCCTGCAGTATCTAGGATTCAGGTTTCAGAGGGGTAATACCTCTGGCAGGGGACCCTCAGCTCTCACCTGTGGCTCCTAGAACCTGTCCGCATGCAACAGCGGTCATACCCCGGGAACGGCTAAACCAGGTGAGGGTACCTGATGGGTCTCAAACCCTAGGTGAGTTAGGGACTTCCCCTTGCATGAGAAGACAGGCTCTGGAGACTTGCACTAATGCCATTAGATAAATAGCAGGGATTTGGTAACACTGGAGAATTTGTAGTGTATTTGGTGCCAGGATGGATTGTGTTCTATCCTGCACTAAAAATGATGCCTGGGAAGGCGAGAGCTTTGTAATTCATGATTATAGGTGCACTGTGGATTGATCAGTGGTTTTTTTCCCCTTGCTATACCAAACAACCACATGGGAGTCCATTTCGTCTATATAAAAGCATTTCATTGCAGATAGTCTTCCAGTGTAATCAGAACCCTGCCAATATAGTGGATTTTAAAATATGAAAGATCTCAGCTTTTCTGCATCTTAGTTAGCCTCTTCCCTTTCTCTCACTTGCGTTGTCCATTTATTAAATATTTTAGTGCCCACCTTTGCGCTTTTTGAGCATTTAAGGTCCTGAATTCTAATCTGTGGGTTGCCATCTGATTGGATTTTACTCTGATCTTGATCTGATTTTAGGATATATTTTAATTGATTGCCTGATTTTATGTTGTGTGTTATACATTTGATGTTAGCCACTCTGAACCCGGTTTTGGCCGGGGAGGGCGGGGTATAAATAATAATAATAATAATAATTATTATTATTATTATTATTATATTTTATTTTGACCTGCTTCATTCCCCTCCAAACCTGGTTATGAATTATTTAGCCTTCTCTGACTCCAACCAATTTCAGCATTACCAGGTGCCCAAATAAGTTTCAGCACCCTTCCAGTTCCAGTGGCTATGCTGTCAAAGAGAATTAAGTTTCCAAAATGCAATGGGGCGATGGAAACAGAGCATCTCCCTGAGAGTTGAGGTGCATTTGAAACATCTTTCATGACCTTAGTCCCTTCCTTTCAGCATCTCTGCTCATTATCCTGTTGCAAGACCTCTGCAATACAAATAAACGACTGCAAGAGGAACTGAAGGCCAAGGTAAGATTGTTCATTTGCTAGAATCTTTCTTTCTTTCTTTCTTTCTTTCTTTCTTTCTTTCTAAAACTCTGCTTTCACAAATGGAATTATGTTTGGGTTTTAATGTGTTTGAATTTCCAGGGACACTTCCAGCAAAATGATTTTAAGCCCAGCTTGGTAACTACAAATGGGGAAAGCAAATAGTCATGGAATTTACATAATTCATGGCACGCTTTGTATTTTAAAAGCTTTTTAGGTTGTGAAATCTAAAACAGCATAATGTGGGAGACTTCATAGCTGTTACATAACTGCCTGAATGCAAGCTATGGTAAAAAAAAAAAATACCATTTAAATATTCTTGCCAGGATATAATCTTCTGGCCAGGGCCATGTCTTACCTTGAACAGCCACCCCCTACCTGATGTCCTCAGATTGAATTCTGACTCCCACCAGCAATAGCCAGCATGTCCAATGGTCAGAGATGGTGGAGGGGAATTGCCAGAAGCAGCGTTAGAAACTCAGATATATAAGCTAGGTGCCAAATGGCTCCTTAAACTGGGGTTACAGTTGCCAAAATGTAATGCCTAGTTGTCATTTTGGGGTCAGGTGGCTTGAGAGTTGTATTTTTCAATGCAACTTTTTGGTTCCTGAAAATCGTTCTGTGCAGATAAAATATAACGGATAGAATTCTACAGGATGGGCTATTAGTGTGTGAAAACAGTCAAGACTGAAGGATCCCCAGGCATGTGCCGCATGGTCGCAAGTGGCCAATAGCCAGGTGTGAAATGCTCCTGGCGAATTTTCAAATGAGGGCCAAAAGCATCTGAACTTGAGCAAGGCTGATCTTGGTTAGCAAGTGCTCCTAAACCCATCTTTGCTTCGTAACATGAATGTTCAAACAGGTGGGGAAAAGCAGTGCTTAACCTTTCTGCTGTGATTGCTGTTAATCTGCAGCCAATCCTCTAGGGGTTGTTTTTCCCCAGACAGGCTCCACACTTGGGAAGAAGCCTAGCTGTAGGGACAGATTCATAGTACGTGCACTAGGTTCAATATTATTCTGCCATATTCGTTAGATGCCAAGGTTGGCATCACTGAGAACGGTCAGCATAACTGGCAGGTAAAAAGAAAACTGGGACTTCCATGAATGATTCCACAAAAGTGGCTGTCAGAGCAAAATAGCTCCAGGTATCTGTTTACACTCGAAGAGGAAACTTTTTTTAGTTAACGTTGACAAACAAATTCAGTTTTTCCTGATTTGCACTCACAGTTATAATTTGTAGTCATGGTGTCACTTATAAGCAGCAAGAAAATCACAAGAGCTTGTTGAGTATCTCAAGGGCAACAGAGTTGTGGGAATATTTAAATAACAGCATCTGTTTCCAGGATCTTAAGTTGTGTATTATTGAGCTAGGTCACATGATGCTTTTTTGCTGACCCATAAAATGTTAAGTCTCCATAGCCATTCTTATGACTAAAAGGGCCATGGATTCTCAAGTGAAACAGAGATTAGTGACATTGGCAGGAGATTTTAAAAAGCGTGAGGTTGGCGTGTGCCTCAAAAAGAGACTTAATCTTGATTTAATTTCACGCTGCAAATGTTGATAGTTGCTTTAGCCAACCAAGAAAATAACCGTTAATGCTGATGCCTGATATCCAAGGGCAGGATGCCTTTTCACTTCAGTAATTTTATAGAACTGGGGTTATTAAATCCCGGAGAGTTTTGTGCTCATCTTGCCACCTCATTTCAGTTGCGGTAGGGAATGTTGAGAAGCTCAGAAGGAGCGTTTTTTTAAAATTACAATTTTATTACCATTGGGCTTTCATCTCTTAAATACAGAGTGAATATATGAAGGAAGGCGTTGAGGAATCAGCTGAAGATGAGGCGACTGAATCGGAAGAAGACTTTGAATTTAATGAAGGAATTGGATGCCTTCCCAAAAGTCCCTGAAAGCTACATAGAGACCACGGCAACTGGAGGAACAGGTAAGCCCTGCTGGCAGATTAATTTCCATTTTTAAGAATTATGTTCAACCAAAGGTGGGCCACTGTTGAATCATTTGCTCTAGCAAGCTGCATTAGCATAATAAAAACGGATACAAATATTTAAAAGAGCAAGCTGTCGCACAGTGATTTTCAAACTTCACATTAAAGAAACTTGCCAATATAGTTTTAATATGGTTTGAGAAAGGTAATGGAGGCCCCACAGCCCAAATTGGTTCTATTCGGAACTGCACCCAATTTTCTCCCTCTTCTTCTTTTTTTAAAAAAATATTTTTTATTGCTCGATTTCCACATAACAAATTATCAAACCATATAATCACCTACATAATTTCCCCCCTTTATTTCCTCCCGTCCCCCTCCCCGCACCAAGGACTTCCCTCAGCTCCTCTCCCTGATTTCACTGCACATATTTTCTCTTCATATTATAAAATTGTATATATCCTTACATATCTGTCCATCATGTTATCAACAATAAATTTGGGTATGTTTATTCAAAATCTCTTCTTCTACCCCCAGTGGTGGAGGAACCCTCTCTGGCACCCAGGGCGGGACGCCAAGGGGCAGAGCGAACCACCCGGTGACACACTGCTCATGTGCGGCATCCCGTGCGGTCGCCATGCGAGAGGCAGTCTGTATGCGCAGCGCCCATACTGACTGCGCGCGCCCTCGGACACTCTGCAGCTGGGGGGAGGCAGGAGCCATCTTGTCTCTCACACACACACACACACACACAGAGTGGCACCCGTCTGCCCCCCACTTTGTACGCCCCTGTCTACCCCATGTTGACTAGAGTCAGAAGTTCTCATGACTCTCATTCTCTGGAGGACCCCTGATTTGGGTAAATAACCCTACAGATTTGGGTCAACACTCTTGGATGCAAAGGCTTTAAAGCCCTATACAGCCTAGGACCCTCGTACCTACGGGACCGCCTCTCCTGGTATGTCCCACAGAGGACCTTGCAGTCTTCAAACAAAAACATCTTGGAGGTCCCAGGCCACAGGGTGGTTAGGCTGGCCTCAACTAGAGCCAGGGCTTTTTCGGCTGTGGCTCCGATCTGGTGGAACACTCTGTCACAATAGACTAGGGCCCTGCGGGACTTGACATCTTTCCGCATGGCCTGCAAGACAGAGCTGTTCCACCAGGCCTTTGGCCAGGACACAGCCTGACTCCCTCCTTTGGCAATCCTCACAGAACTCTAGCCCAATGGTTGCCATTAATCTGATTTGAACTGATTTTATAATGAACTGATTGTAGAATGTTGTATTATTTTACTGTTGTTAGCCACTCTGAGCCCGGCTTCAGCTGGGGAGGGCGGGATATAAATAAATTTTTTTTTTTTTTTATTATTATTATTATTATTATTTCATCATATCTCAAAATCTATCATCTGAGACAGGTTTCTAAACCCTACCTGATGTTGGGGCTGGCCTTAGCTAGCTGCTAATTCACCTATGTAGCAGTTTCTGGGATACAACTGAGGGGATATGCCAGAGTTTGTAGGCGGCGTTAAATAAACAGAAACACCATTTGTGGCTGCCTCTTTCGCCCTCTTGCACAGGCAGGCTATTACTCCAAAGTCCCCAAATAATACCCCTCCCCACAGAATTTTGGGGGGTTGTGCCACAGGGCTTGCTCCCCAAGAAGTGTGCGCAGTCTTGGATTTCTTTTTGAACGATTAGCATTGTTACATTTTGCTTGCCCGAATGATTACTCAGCCTTAATGAAAAGGCTGCTTTCTGAATACCTGAACTGAACATATTGTGCTACAAAACTGGCCTCTAGTCCTTTTCTGGCGCTTTTCATGTGTGCTCTTTGCTCATTAGGAGCAAAAAAGGTTGAGAATTTGCTTTTTAAAACCTGTAATTGGTACAAAAAGCATTCCTCCTCTCTGTTTTTTTGGCAGACCTTTTCCGGGTTTTTGCATTGCAAGAACTCATTGAGCTTCTGTTACTGAATATGGTGTGCCCTTTCCTACCACGGATCAACCCCTTCACCCATTTTTATGATTTCTCAGATATAGAATTTGCAAGTTCTGTATTTGCGCTCGCAGGCTTCCCATAATCGTTTGGTTGGCCACTGCGAGAAATTGGAACAGGATGCCTGGGCCAGATAGGCCTGTGCAAGGCTCTTTTTTGTTCTTGTTGCTTGTGTAGACCATTGCCTTTTAGGAATAACGATTGTGACTTTCACCTAAGCGCTCCCCTTCCATATCCTCCAAGGGGCATCATGAGAACTGATCAATCACACTGAAGAATGGGAAAGGGGAGATGAATTAGGGGACACAAGGTTGGGCAGTGTGTCTGGAGGTCCTGGGCTGCCTAGACAAGACCCTTCGTGGCCTCGCTGATGTGGTCCGAAGGAAAGCAGAGCAAGACATCTGGCACCAGCTTAGCTGCCAGAGTTGCCAGAAGGAAGCTTGCAAGGCGCCATCTGGCAGTCTTAGGATCTCCACTCTGGATTTATGTTGGGTTTCCTCCTCCTGAAGATATCCCACAAGGCAGCAGAGGTGTAGGATCAGAGTTTTCTTTCTCCTAGATGGGCTACTTTCCCAGTTTTCCGAGGCCAATCTGACTCTCATTTCCCTCGACGGCACATGCAGAAACTGTCTTCTTGACTGCTGGACCCACTGCTGGCTTCGTCTGCTCAATCCGCCAGAGTCTGTATTTGCATGCAGGGGTCTCTAACTCAGTGAGGGTTTGAGACCCCTTGGCCACCCTCTCCTGGTTTAGTCGCCCAGTCAAAGCTGTTCCCAGGGTGTGGCTGCTGTCGCATGCGGACAGCTTCTAGGAGCAGAGTAATTTTTCCTGAGTTTTTCATCGCTGCCCTGAAGCAGAGTAGGGAGAAACTTTTCAAACTGCATTGCTTAATATATTAATGTGTTTAGTAGAAAGTGTGTTCCACGTTCCCTTTTTTCTTTTTGCAAATTCAGTGGATATTGTATTTATGCTAGCTCTTTCTTTCTTTCTTTCTTTCTTTCTTTCTTTCTTTCTTCCCAGTTTCTTTAATAGCGTTTACAACGATGGCTCTCTTAACCATAATGGAGTTTATGGTCTATCGAGACACCTGGATGAAATATGAATATGAAGTAGATAAAGATTTTACAAGGTAATTTTTCGCTCATTTGCTTTTCAAACCTGTGCGGATTGCATGCTGTTTTACGCTTCTTAAAAACATCTTGGCTGCCCTCAGGCAATAGCTTTCAGATTTCCATTTGAATCCAGGATGCCCTGGTAACAGCAACGCCCAGCTAATTGAGAAGCTGAAAAACAAAATTATTACCTATCTCCTGGGGCAAGAAGAATTGAGGAGAGGAAGCATGGCATTTAGTCAGAGTCCAACAGATGTGACCAGTTACCTGGGGATAATTCATGTTGCTCTGTGAGCACGAGACCCATTACTGTGTGGCTGAACTCCATGCCTTCTCAGTAATGTCTGTAGGAAGAAATCACATGACGATTGATTTGGTTACTTCTAATGTGAACGTTGTCCTTGAGCTTGTGATCAAATCCATCACCTAAGCCCATGAAGTTGCTGGTCACATCCTGTAGGAATTAATGTGCTTTCCTGCCTTTCAGAATCAGCTGCCATGCTGGTTAGGCACTTAGTATTTAAAAGTCTGACACCATTGGATTTGCATGTTCTTGCAGTTATCCATTTGCCGCTGGCCATGGTTAAGAGTGCAGGGATGCGGGTGGTGCTGTGGGTTAAACCACGGAGCCTAGGACTTGCCAATCAGAAGGTCGGTGAGCTCTTGTTGCTCGGTCCCTGCTCCTGCCAACCTAGCAGTTCGAAAGCACATCAAAGTGCAAGTAGATAAATAGGTACCGCTTCGGCAGGAAGGTAAACGGCGTTTCCGTGCGCTGCTCTGGTTCGCCAGAAGCGGCTTAGTCATGTTGGCCACATGACCCGGAAGCTGTATGCCGGCTCCCTTGGCCAATAAAGCAAGATGAGCGCCGCAACCCCAGAGTCGGCCATGACTGGACCTAATGGTCAGGGGTCCCTTTACCTTTATGGTTAAGAGTTAAAAATGGCCTGCAGGATTGTGCAGTCATTCCCCTCAAGGGTGACGTCTCCTTGCCCTTTCCCACAAGACTTCACCTTTATTTACCTATTTTGATTGATTGATTGATTGATTGATAGAATTTATATACCGCCCTATACCCGGAGGTCTCAGGGCGGTTCACAGGACAAAATCAAAATATAAAACCAATGTATATCTCCTTTCCTCACAGAAAAGCTCAGGGTGGCTAACAATCATCCTTCATTAAATAAATAATTCCCCTTTGGCAGTATATGTCCTGGGGTAAAATCCTAAAAAAAGCTCAGCAACGTTGGGATAGAATTGTAAAAAAGTCTCAACAACTTCAATCCTAAAAAGAGCTCAACAACTGTGGTCGGCCCTCACACTTATTCACTTCATCAGATCTGGCCCTCTTGAAAAATGTTTGGGCACCCCTAGTTTAAGGCTTCATTGGGGCCCATTTTTGGGAGTTTTCCACTTGGTAACCATTGGGGAAAGAGTCCTTTCAGTGTTGGCATCTTGGTTATAAAATTATCTCCCCCAACACTTCATGCCATTTTCAATCAGCTGAACACCTTTTCATTCTGTCCAGGGTTTTAAATCTGCTATAAGTCTGGGGCTCGCTATTTACTGTGATTTTTGAGCCGTTTGAAGCCCTGACTTCAATTCTTGTTTATGGCCCAACCCAAGTTCATGTTAACCATGGTTATTCTCGATTCTTTAACAATGGTTAAAGCTTGTAACGAATTCGTAATCGATGGGAAGAGAGCATACAATCCGCCACTTGCTCCCAGTCTCTTAAACATGGCTAACGGGTCGCCTGCCTTGCATCCCCCAAGTTGAGAAATAATAATAATATTCAGATCAGAGCACATTTTGCCACGTGTCTGCCTGCTGGGCATCGCTTGGGAGAATCATCAGCGTCTTGCCTCTCTGTTTGAAGCCGATGTGATCTTAATGCTTTGGCAAATAATAGCTGTTGTGAATTTTGGCTCCTTGCTTTGTTGTCATGGAGATAATTGGCTGATGTCAGCATCAGTCTAATGAGCAGGAGGTGCCTGGAAATTTTGAGATGCTGTACCCCTTGGTAAGAAATCCCAGGTGAACTATCTTGCCTTGTTTGACCAGTTAAATGTGGGGGCTCCTTCCTAAATCTATTGAGTTGCTTCAACTTCCTGTTCCTTATATAAAAGAAAAAGAGTATTTTGAGTGTTTCTGCCTTTCCACCTTATCCAAGGCTCTGCATATCTTTCAATATTCCTTCCAACCTTTTAAGAAGCACTGTGATAGTTCACGGTATTATGCACACGGAAGTCACTGCATGTAGGTACTTTCGTAGGAGTTTCTTCCGATTTCTTCAGACGGCTCTGTTCAACTCACAGATACAACCACTTTTATCCGGTGCTGATTTGTATGTAGAGACGTTACGTCTTGCTTTAAATAGAAATGCAATCTTGGTTCCTTTCCTTACTTCCTCTTGTGGGTGTGAATGCAAGCAGAAGTGAAACAAATTATAAGCATTCCCGTTCAGATAGCTTAATTGAGGCTTTCTGCGAGGAGAAATGCTTTGCCAAGGTGAGATTTTGCAGTAGTCTTTGGCCTCGAGTGCAAAATGATCGGCATTTTAACTGGACATAGATAGAGCACCAAGCAGAATGTTCTTTACTCAAGATCCACAAACAGCAATTTGAAAGAGGAGCAGGAATACACTACTTTGCGGTCATGAGATGTTCACTGCACTTCTGGGGCAGCAGTCACATGAGAGATAGCCCAAACATAATAGTTTGAATCCTACAAACTGTGATTTGGGAGATTAGGGACTTAGCTCGTGGTTTGCATGCATGTGCAAACTGAGGAAGGCCAAACATGCAAGAAGCGAAGTTACAGGGAACCAGGCAGAGGGCCTTCTCGGTGGTGGCGCCTGCCCTGTGGAATGCCCTCCCATCAGATGTCAAAGAAATCTGAAGGCAGCCCTGTTTAGGGATGTTTTTAATGACTGATGTTTTAATGTATTTTTAATCTTTTGTTGGAAGCTGCCCAGAGTGGCTGGCCTGGGTATAAATAAATTATTATTATTATTATTATTATTATTATTATTATTATTTGTTCCAGAAGTCAAGAGGTGATGCCCACCATTCTTTTGCAAGGTAGCAAATGCCTCTCTAAATCTGCCTTTAGCCTTCTGGCTCAGAATTCATGGTACACACTCGTAGTTCCGATACGAATGATCTGCTGTCTCCTATGAAGCGTGTGAGCCACTGTATGCCATAGGAATTACAGTTGTACCTTGGATCCCAAACGCCTTGCAACTCAAATGTTTTGGCTCACGAACACCACAAAATGAGTGTTCCAGTTTGCGAACGTTCTTTGGAACCCAAACGTCTGACGCGGCTTCCGATTGCGTGCAGGAAGCTTCTGCAGCCAATCGGAAGCCGCACCTTGGTGTCGAACGTTTTCAGAAGTTGAACGGATTCCATTTGACAAGCAAGGTACGACTGTATTCTACAGCAATCTCACGTAGCTTTTGTGAAATTGACATGCTTTGTCTTCTTTCCCCCCTAGCAAATTAAGAATCAATATAGACATTACTGTCGCAATGAAGTGTCAGTGTAAGTATTCTGATGCAATGCTGTTCATTTTTTCAGTTTGAAATTACTATTTTTGTTACAGTAATAGGAGGGCACTATCTATTACCCACAAAAACAAGAGTTGATGCCAAAAATTGTGTCCCCAGGACTGTGTGATCATTTACCTCATGGCACAGGGATGTTAATTTTAGCAATAATTTCTTTTTTAAATACACACATATATATTTATTTCCTTTTTCCTTTTTATTCGATATTAATCCAAAAGAAGTGATGTTAAAAATATAATAAATAATAATAATGGAAATATATTATATATAGCTTTCTCGATCTACATAATAATATCTGTAAAGTTTTACTGGAATAGATTATAATAAAATGTGTGGATTTACATTTTCTAGTACGTTATTACACTACCCCATTTTTCTATAAAACAAACTTAATGTGGTACATCTGCTCAGAGCAAGTGCTTTCCATATTTCTAAGTGCAGACAGTCATTTATTCACAAAGTAAACCTGATTTTTCTGTTTTTTCTCTGGTATAAATCCTCATTTACTAATGCTCTGGACTAAGTTCAACTTCGCTAAGCAGGATGAGCTTTGCATCACATAAAACTTTAGATAATAAGACATTTGTGGTTTTTTTCTGTTGCCTCTAACGATTATGGTATTTACTTGGAAGAGGGAAAGGGGAAAGAATCAACCCAGTTCTGTCTTTAGGGGGGGGAAAGAATCCATTCTTTTCTTACTGTAAGAAAAAGAAAAATAGAATTGCACATTGGAGCTAATATAAAGCAAAATGAGCTGAAATAATGCCCATATACTTTACGGCAGCCTTCTCCTGAACTAAGGCATTGTAAAATTTGCTTGTCCTTTTTTACTTATCAGACGTGCTGACAGCAGTCTGTAGCAACAAACCACGCAAGGCTTTGCTGTCATGAAAGGACTGTGACATTTCCAAAGTCCTCATTAGAAAGAAACGGGTCACTTAAGGTGCTGCAACTGGGCAGCTCAAAAAACTCACCATTGCACAATCTTTTTTCACGTGCGGCGCCAAAGGTCGCTGTGACAAACTGAGATCTCCTTAAGAGGCAGAAGGAAGAAAACCTGACGTTTTTCAAGACAAACTGTTAGAAAAAGAGCTGTTAGATATGCCAGTTTTACCGGCCTGTTTTTATTCTTACCTGCCTGCCTTAACATTTAACCTTTTTTGCAACAGATATTGGGGCCGACGTTCTAGATCTGGCAGAAACAATGGTATCCTCTGCGGATGGATTAGTTTACGAGCCAGTAAGTTCGCTCCATTCCATTCATAAATGTAGATTCTATTCATAAATGTACATTCTATTCAAAGGTAGAGGGGCATAGAAAACTACTTTTCATTTTAATGAGCCTAGGCAAAGATCCACAGTTTGCAGAGGCCCTGTGCACAAGGTTTAGGTGTGTAAAACAAGATGGATGAACCTTAGAGAATGTTCAGGGTTCCCCCTGCTATCCTTGGACTACAACTCCCATTATCCTTAGCTAGCAGGACCAGTGGTCAGGGATGATGGGCATTGTAGTCCAACCACAGCGAGGGGCTTGAGTTTAAGAAACACTGCCTTACCAAGTACCATAAAAGTCCCTGTTCCAAGGATATTGTAGTCCAGATTTTAGACTGGGGGGTGGGGGAGGTGAGGAATGCCAAGAATAGCAAGGCTTGAAGGCAAGTTCATGCATTAACATAAGCTTAGTTTCATTTGAGGATTAATCATTGCTGTGGGGCTGAACATTTTCCATTTCTTAAAATTTTATTTTTTTTTAATCATAAAATCTAGTAATGTGAGGGATACAAAACCAGTTTCAAATCTGTGACTATCTCTTTTTAAATCTTTCTTGTTGCTCTTTGGAAAATTAAGATATTTACATGGCGTGTGAAATTAACACGGCATTCTTTAATTTTTGCGGAACTCTTTACTGAATGTCGATCTTCTCCGTTGCAGGTAATATTTGAACTCAGTCCTTTGCAAAGAGAGTGGCAAAGGTAAGAAATAATACAGGTGCAATACAGTGTATGTAAGCAGGCCGAATAGGGGTGGGTGTTTAAATTTGACACACACACACAGTTTCCACTTAAAACTAAGAAATAAAAGTAAACAGCTAATAGCTCACAATGCACTTAGGGGCCTTCTGCAGTTCAAGTCCATTTGCCGTGTAATTTCTGCAAATGGAGCTGGCCGCAGTCGTCATAGATCGATCTACTGCCTGGTTGGGAAAACCTCCGGATTTTGCTGGGCTGTAACTCCCATGATGGGACGTGGGTGGCGTTGTGGGTAAATCCTCAGCGCCTAGGACTTGTCGATCGCATGGTCAGTGGTTCGAATCCCCGCGGCGGGGTGAGCTCCCGTCGTTCGGTCCCAGCTCCTGCCCACCTAGCAGTTCGAAAGCACCCCTAAGTGCAAGTAGATAAATAGGTACCGCTTTATAGCGGGAAGGTAAACGGCGTTTCCGTGTGCTGCGCTGGTGCCGGCTCGCCAGAGCAGCTTCGTCACGCTGGCCACGTGACCCGGAAGTGTCTCCGGACAGCGCTGGCCCCCGGCCTCTTAAGTGAGATGGGCGCACAACCCTAGAGTCACGACTGGCCCGTACAGGCAGGGGTACCTTTACCTTTACCTTTAACTCCCATGATCCTTGACCCATGGCTGCGCTGACTGGGGCTGATGGGAGTTGGAGTCCTGCAACATATTTGGGGTCAAAGGTTCCTCATCCCTGGACTACTGCAGCGCATTGTTTGTGGGGCTGCCTTTCAAAAACAGCTCGGAAACTTGGCTTAGTTCGGTATACAGCTGTTGACTGGAACCAGTCTGATGGAGCGCATCCCACCGGTTCTTAAGCAGCTGTACTGGCTACCAGTTTGCATCAGAGCACAATACAAAGTGCCGGTCTCCATCCCTCCGGTTCCTTGGCATCCATCTGTCTCGGAAGACAAGGGAGGAGTGTGCCTTTGGGGGTGAGGTCAAGCTGTTGGAAGGTTGCAGTGCCTGCTGTGGCTGTAGACACTGATACGGGAGAGACATGTTTTGCTGCAGCTGGGGCAGATGAAGGCGTCCGGTTTTGCCGCTGCAGATTCACCACTGCTTTTTTTTCCTCTGCGCTCCTCCCAGTGATCCTTTCGACTTGACTTGACTGCCTGCCTCCAAGCACTGAGTTTTTTAGGGGCTCCCTTGCTCCTGCGTTAACATACGGTGGTGCTGAGACCGTCTTTGCACGGTGCTGTGCCATATGGGGCTCAAGTCTGGGAATCATCCAAAACTGGGCGAAGGGATATTGTGTCAGCAAAAACTATGCTGGCGTAGCCCCACGCCACACAGCCCTCCCTGCTTTGGGGATGAGCGGGCTGGAACACGACCCTCTTAAAGGTAAAGGTAAAGGGACCCCTGACCAATTAGGTCCAGTCGTGACCGACTCTGGGGTTGCGGCTCTCATCTCGCTTTATTGGCCGAGGGAGCCGGTGTACAGCTTCCAGGTCATGTGGCCAGCATGACTAAGCCGCTTCTGGCGAACCAGAGCAGCGCACGGAAACGCCGTTTACCTTCCCACCGGAGCGGTACCTATTTATCTACTTGCACTTTGACGTGCAAAGTAGAGAGGCTTTTTTGAGACTTGGTGGAGAGAGAAAGCTGCCTTCTGCTCATACAGTGAGGGAAAGAAGTATTTGATCCCCTGCTAAGTTTGCCCGTTTGCCCTCTGACGAAAAGATGACCAGTCCGTAATTTTAATGGTAGGTTTATTGTAGCTGCGAGAGACAGAATAACAACAGGAAAAACCCCAGAAACCCAGAAGACAAAAAGTCAGAGATTCTGTCTCTCACAGCTACAATAAACCTACCATTAAAATTACGGACTGGTCATTTCTTCATCAGAGGGCAAATTTAGCAGGGGATCAAATACTTCTTTCCCTCATTCTATGACTTTTGGGTGCAACTTTGAAGGTTTCTTCCTGTTTCAAATTTTTGTCGCTAGCAAATAAGAGTAGCCAGTATCTTGTGCGTGTTTGTGTATAGACAACTAAATACTGTACAGCTTTATTGTGTCCATGTCACACATGGCGTGGGGAACCTGTGGTCCTCCAGATGTGCTTGGGCTCAAGGATGATGTGTGTTGGGCATCAAATAACATCTGGAAGGCCGTGGCTTTCCCAACCCTGCTTTTACGCGGCTGAATTCTTTCTCCGTTATCCATCTGAATTGCAGGATGCTGCAGATAATTCAGAGCAGGCTGCAGGAAGAACACTCCCTCCAAGACATAATATTTAAAAGTGCTCTAAAAAGTGCCTCGACGGCACTGCCACCAAGGTAAACGTTCGCGGTTCGCAGTTCACCCTTTGCTTCAAGCATTTACTATATGCAGGGGGATTAAAAATAATAACAATTGTATACATGTGGTCTTACGCGTGTTTCTTCAGAGGCAAATGCCATTGCCATCAAGGTGTGTTTAAGATCATACAGATCATACTGATCTGCAGGTTACTCACTTCTGTAGTCTCCTCCCCACAGAAAAAATGCTACGCTTGCTCACCAGCAAGTTCCAGTGAAACTAATGGCTCTTAAATGTGTTTTTGAGGAACTTCAGGGGGCAGGGAAAGGAAGCGATTTGACAGTTCTGACATGAATTCTAAAATAGCTCAAGCCTGTAAGGATATTCTTCCTGGATGCTGCCCTTGTTGGCACTGTGTCTCTTTTTGTTTCTGAAATCAAACATGCCCTTTCCTTTCTTCCTGTCATAGGCTGAAGTCAACAATGACTTCTGGGCTCCTGAGGAGCTCAACCTTTGGCTTCTTCTGCCGTTTGTTTGCCCAGTACTGCAAATATCGTAACTGGTGACACAGAAATGCCCGCGGGGCATGAAAAGTAACGTTATCCGTGGCTGTAACTCGTTTTCCTTCTTCCATCAGGGAGGACAAGTCATTCCAACCTCCAGATGCCTGCAGAATTCATGGGCAGCTGTATGTTAATAAAGTCGCAGGGAACTTTCACATAACTGTGGGCAAGTATGTTCATTTCATTTACTGAAAACACTATAAACCAACTCCTCCCTCCGTTATCGGCATGTTGGGGGCTTCACTTTATGATGGACAGATCAGCAGTGAGAACATATGCATGTCTACCTTGAAACAAATTCATAGAAACATAGATTTTTAGACCTGGAAAGCTATGATTGTGTCTTTCCTCATCTTGTCCAGGCCCCTGCAATGCAAGAATCTTTTGCCGTACGTGGGGCTCAAACCCATGACCTTGAGGTGATTCCCATCCCCCTTTTTTATAACACTGCTTTTGATTTTTTAAAAAGCCCTTTGGGATTTTTCTCCTCTCAAGATTAGACATTTTGAATATCTACCTATGAACCCCTTGGGATGGGAGTCAAAAAACTGGTCCTGCTTGCGAAAACGTGGGCAAGGACTTCACTAGCACAACAGGGCTCCCCCCCACCCTCTAAAATTGGCTCAGTGGGTTCTGGAAAACCTCCAGAACAATACGCTGTGGAGGGTGGATCATTCTGTTGGGCAAGCTGACAGAACGATTGCCAAAGTGCTATGCTGATTTCCTAACTTTCTGTTTAACCTTCCACCGAGGAATCTCAAGTCACATGCTTGTTTCCCCACCGTGAATAATGTTCTTTTTCTCAGACCTTTAGCGTTAGGGTTGTATCCAGTGGTTGTGTTGGCAGAGGGCAGCTCAGGCAACTGATATAGTAATAATAATAATAATAATTAATATTTATACCTCGCCCATCTGGCTGGGTTTCCCCAGCCACTCTGGGCGGCTTAAAGGTAAAGGGACCCCTGACTATTAGGTCTAGTCGTGACCGACTCTGGGGTTGCAGTGCTCATCTCGCTTTATTGGCCGAGGAAGCCGGCGTACAGCTTCTGGGTCATGTGGCCAGCATGACTAAGCTGCTTCTGGCGAACCAAAGCAGCGCACGTAAACGCCGTTTACCTTCCCTCCGGAGCGGTACCTATTTATCTACTTGCACTTTGATGTGCTTTCGAACTGCTAGGTTGGCAGGAGCAGGGACTGAGCAATGGGAGCTCACCCCGTCGTGGGGATTTGAACCGTCGACCTTCTGATTGGCAAGTCCTAGGCTCTGTGGTTTAACCCACAGCGCCACCCGTGTCCCCTCTGGGCAGCTTACAGCGCATTAAAAATGGTAAAACATTAGTCATTAAAAATTTCCCCATACAGGGCTGCCTTCAGATGTCTTCTAAAAGTCAGATAGCTGTTTATTTCCTTGATGGGATCTCTCCTTCATCCCCTGTGCACGGTGTGGGCTGTACCATATGGGGCTCAAGTTTGTGAATCACTGAAAATTGGGCAAAGGGATATTGCATCAGCAAGAACTCTGCTGGTGTAGCCCCATGCAACACAACCCTCCCTGCTTTGGGGATGGGTGGGCCTCTGGAGTGGGCCTCAGCCCAGTATACCTGAAGGAGCGTCTCCACCCCCATCATTCTGCCCGGATGCTGAGGTCCAGCGCCGAGGGCCTTCTGGCGGTTCCCTCACTGCAAGAAGCCAAGTTACAGGGAACCAGGCAGAGGGCCTTCTCAGTAGTGGCACCCACCCTGTGGAACGCCCTCCCATCAGATATCAAAGAGATAAACAACTACATTCAGAAGACATCTTAAGGCAGCCCTGTTCAGGGAAGTTTTTAATGTGTGACATCTTAGTGTATTTTTGTTCTTTGTGGAAACCGCCCAGAGTGGCTGGGGAAACCCAGCCAGATGGGCGGGGTACAAATAAATTATTATTATTATTATTATCATCATTATTTTGAGACTGGGTGGAGAGAGTGAAAGCTTCATTCTGCTCATGCGACTTTAAAGGATTTTTTTCTGTCTCAAGTTTTGGTTGCTCACGATTAAGAGTAGCCAGTATGCATCATCATCATCATCCTTTTTATTCGACCGTCAGTCAGAAAAAAGTACATTTTATCAATACACAGTTAAAAACATCCAGGAAGATTTTAAAACTTAGCCAACACTAAAATGGGCTAAACAGATAGCCCCATATCAATACAGTCAATTATAGTCTTGCGACGCTTAAAAGCTAAAAGAAAAATTTGGCCACCAAGGAAGGTATAGCTCTAGTGGCGTTATTCAGCAAGTGTAAAACCTGGTTTTCTCCGGGTAGGAAGCTGAATTGACATAGGAGAGGGTCTATAAAATTTTGTCTAAGCTCTGCATAAGAAGGGCAAGTCAAGAGAATATGTTCAGTGGACTCAACCACACCCATGGCACAATGACAGGTTCTCTGGGCGTATGGTACCCCCCTGTACCTTCCCCACAATATCGCAGAGTCAAGGACATTTAATCTAGCCGCTGTAAGAAGTCTCCGGTATTCCACATAATGGATTTCTGCAAGGTAGGGGGCTGGTATAGTCCGATAAATCTGGTCCCCTAGGAACGTCCCTGGTTTTACCTGGGCTATGTCCTCTTGTCTGGCAATGTCACTCAGTCTCCGGGAGATCACAGCTCTAGCTTGATTGTACGTCATAGACTCAAAGTAGAGGTGAGAGTAGCCAGTATGCAGTGTGTCCGCTAACAAGCCAGGCACAGTGAAATATCATTTACCAGATTCTTAAAACGCTTACACCAAATTACATTGATGTCATCTGGCAGCAGTTTTGCCATGCACTTTGAAGACTAGACAAAACTGCCTTGGTCCCTGAACATAGACTTATTTCATGGGCTCCACTGAGCAACGTTTGGTCTTTGGCTGCCTGCTGCTCTTCTGTATACACCAGGGGGTAGCCATTCCCACGATCTCCAAATGGCTGTGTCCCCTTGTAAGTGGTGCTTTGCTTTGCCTATTGAAGTTTGTCCTTCTTATCGCATCCTTTTGATTCTGAAACTTTGTTCCCTCCTCCCTCTTTTTCTCTCTTTCCTTAGGGCAATTCCGCACCCAAGAGGCCATGCGCACTTGGCAGCCCTTGTGAGCCATGAATGTGAGTCCCTTTTGTGATCTTGCGTGAATAGATTGTTAGTTATGAGATGTTTGGGGCAAATACGTCTAGAAGAAAAACATTTTGAGATACTCCCTCTGTGATGTGGCACGTTCAAAGAGCTCTGCCTGCTTCTTTCGGACCAGTTCAGACCTACCGCTGGCACCAGGTTTTGTGGAACAGACACAGTGGTACCTTGGTTCCCAAACTTAATCCGTTCTGGAAGTCCGTTCCAAAACCAAAGCGTTCCAAAACCAAGGCATGCTTTCCCATAGAAAGTGATGCAAAATGGATTAATCCGTTCCAGACTTTTGAAAACAACCCCTAAAACAGCAATTTAACATGAATTTTACTATCTAACGAGACCATTGATCCATAAAATAAAAGCAATAAACAATGTACTGCAGTCACACAATCAATCAGTAGCTGAACTGGGTTCTACACAGTCACAGAAACAAAACAAAAAAGCCACAAAAATGCAAAATAAATAGCAAAAATAGACAGACCTCAGCATAACACTCAAAACGGAAGTGTGGCACTCAAAACGGATTATGTTTGGCTTCCGAAAACAGTTCGCAAACCAGAACACTTCCGGGTTTGCAGTGTTTGGGTTCCAAGTTGTTTGAGTACCAAGGCGTTTGAGATCCAAGGTACCACTGTATTGGCTTGGGGGGGTGTCATTGTGTATGATGATGAATACCTCTCTCTCCCTCCCTTCTTTCATGGATAAATCTGTCCCTTGCCCACTCCCTACCCAACTTCTTCTTATTTTAAAATTAATTTTTCATTAATAACAATCCAATGGAGGCCACATTAATACAATGCCAAATCATATCAAATCACAATACAATCAAAGGAGCCAATTAAACAGTTCCGAATTAAACATTTTTGGATGACTTCCTGTGTTCCGGCTATCAGGAGTTGATGTTATTTCTTGATCCTGCGCCAATTTTCTTAATCCAAGTTCCACAATTCCGATCTTAATCCTTTGTTCTAGCAGCCACTGATGCGATGACTTTCGATCGTATTTAATAAATCCAAATCCATTAACTTGCAGAGGGGATTTATATCTTGTAGCTGTGTGAAATATTTGTTTACCTTCTTCATTTTCTTCATGTTGTGATCAGTCAATTTTATTCAACATGGCCCCTCCTTCGAAAGCTCATTTCTAGGTTTGTCACAGCTTCATTTTGCCTCTCTGAGACCGAAAGCCGAAAGAAGTCAGGCCGCGACTTATGGCTTACTTTCAGTGTTTATCTCCTTGTTTCTTCTAATGAGCTGGCGTCTCACCAAAGCCATCATAAATCAGAACTAGAGCTCTCTTTAGCTGGCAATGTTACAAATCATCCCAGTATTTCACACACAGTCTATTCTTTCAAGCATTCCGTAAGGAAAATTGTAAGTTCTTATTGAATCCCTCTTGCATTCCATAGATGGTTGTAATCAATTAGTTATTTCCTTCCATTAATAATTCCCCTACCCAACTTCCATCTTCTGTGTGGTCATTGGCATTCGGATTAAAATGAAACCAGGTGCACCCCTTTACCTGTTTTAATAACAGCGACCCATAAGATTGAAATTTTGTAAAGGGGAACAAGAGGGATCTGTGGGTGGAAAGACCTGGTTATTATTATTTATTTATTGTTATTTATTAAGTTATTATTTATTGAGTTTATGTACCGCCCTATACCCAGAGGTCTCAGGGCAGTTCACAGAATAAAACTGAAATATAAAACCACAAAATATATACAGTGGTGCCTTGGTTTACGAACTTACTCCGTTCCAGAAGTCCATTCTTAAACCAAAACCGTTCTTAAACTGAGGCACGCTTTCCCTAATGAGGCCTCCCGCCGCTGGTGCCCTTCCACCATTCGGATTCCATTCTAAGACCGAGGTAAAGTTTGCAAACTGGGACACTACTTCCGGTTTTGTGGAGTTAGTAAACCAAATCGTTCGTAAACAGGACTTTTCTTAAACCAAGGTGCACTGTAACGAAAATAAAAACAGCAACCCAATAACCCCCCCCCCCCCAGAAAAGAGTCACATTTTAAAAGGGCATAGGATGTCAATAAGATCAACCAAAGGCCTGGTTAAAAAGGAACGTTTTTGCCTGGTGCCTAAAGGTGTACAATGAAGGCGCCAGGCAAACTTCCCTGGGGAGAGCATTCCACAGACGGGGAGCCACTGCAGAGAAGGCCCCGTTCTCGTGTTGCCACCCTGCGGACCTCTCAAGGAGGAGGCACACAAAGAAGGGCCTCAGAAGATGATCTCAGGCTCCGGGTGGGTTCATATGGAAAGAGGCGGTTCTTGGGGTATTGCAGTCCTGAGCCGTTTAAGGCTTTATAGTTCAAAACCAGCACTTTGAATTGGGCCCAGAAACTAATTGGTAGCCAGTGCAGTTGGACCAGGATCGGTGTAATATGCTCAGACCGTCTTGCTCCGGTGAGCAACCTGGCCGCTGAATTCTGCACTAGCTGAAGTTTCCGAACCGTCTTCAGAGGCAGCCCTACGTAGAACGCATTGCAGTAATCTAACCTTGAGGTTCCCAGAGCCTAGACAATAGTAGTTACACTATCCCTGTCCAGATAGGGGCGTAGCTGGGCCACCAGCTGAAGTTGATGGAAGGCACTCTGGGCCACTGAGGCCGTCTGAGCCTTGAGCGACAGCAAGGGATCCTGGAGCACCCCCAAGCTACGAACCTGCTCCTTCAGAGGAAGTGTAACCCCATCAAGAGCAGGCGACCTCCCACCCATCCGGTCTAGGGAACCACCCCCTAACAGCGCCTCAGTCCTATCTGGACTGAGCTTCAGTGTGTTGGCTCTCATCCACAGTTTCAGACTGAACTGAGCCATCTAATATTCTGAAACACAATGACTGCCGTGTTGTTTAGTCGTTCTTTATTTGAGCATCCTGCTCACGGTAAGTCTGTGACAAATCCTTTCTTTCCTTATAAGCAGTCTGACGTTAGCATAAATATTTGCATCCGTTTTTGCATTCTGGAAGACTGCACATGCTTGAGCTCTGTGTTTTGACTCCAGGTTCGTCGCTTTGTGCGGGGCTTTGGGGGTTTAAAGAAACCTTTTTAAAATATGCTTTTAAAAGGTAGTTAGAAGCCTTACTTGCTTGAAGTTAGCTGTTAGAAGTTGTTTGGCTTAGAGTGAAATTCTCAGGGACTGCATAACTTGAAACAGAACGGCCGCTATTGGGGGAAGCTAAGCAGCGCTGCTAACTGCGGCTTTTGTTCTGTTCTGTTTTTCAGCATACAACTTCTCCCACAGGATAGATCACTTGTCTTTTGGGGAGCTCATCACGGGGGTTATCAATCCTTTAGATGGCACTGAAAAGATTGCATCAGATCGTAAGTGTCACTCACCTCACAGAAAAGTATCTTTCATGTTGTTCTATTTTTAGCAATGTCTTCTTACATTATTTATGTTCCCCGAATTCTTAATAGAATGTGATTTTTTTGGAGGGGAGGGGGGTATCTTCCTCAGTTGTATGGGCTATAAATTGCCCTGAGTCAAAGCAATATTGAAAGGCAGGTTTAAAAAGTAAAAAAAAGTTCCGTTCAGCCTTACTTTACAGTTTTTATTTCCTACTGCAAGCTTGATTTTCTTGCCTATCTTTCAGTCGTTAAAAATCCATCTTCACTTAAACTAACAGTACAATTTTGACACTTATGTATGAGGTTGGTTTTTTTTTTATCCCATTCAAAGAAGCCCTACAGTGCAAATATTATAATTTTATATAAAGACTAACGTGTATTTAAATTCTGGGTGAGCCTTTTACTGATTCAGAAGTATATTTTTTGTGTGTGTGTGAGAGAGAGAGAGAGAGAGAGAGAGAGAGAGAGACAAAAAAACCACACATATAAATTTATTTAGCAAATAACCCAATACTTTTAATCATGATGGGTTTAGGCCAGTGGTTCCCACCTAATCATCTCTAAAATCCTGATCCCCCCCCACCCGTGAAATATAATTCTTATTATTCAAAAAGTGAACTCCTTTTCACATGGAGGAAGGCCATTAACTTGGTCTAAACATTCTCAAATTGCCCCCCATGGGGTGTGTGCCCCACGTTGGGAACCACGGGTTAAGGTGGACTCAGTAGGGCTTCCAATAGGCCTCTGCTTTACCATTGTGAGAATAGGATGCTGTGCAAGAAGAGCTCTTCTGGATCTAGCCAAAGGCCCATGATATTCCAGCATCCTGTTGTCACAGTGGCCAACCATCCCCCAGGCACTTACCCAACTTGTGATTTCCAGAAACTGGTACCCAGAGGCATGCAGGCTACATTGGCTTTGGGTCTAATCTAGCAGGGCTGCTTCCTTCCTACTCTATGATTCTTCAGATCTTCTGAGAATGCATGTGAGGGGCCGTGCCTGTATGTTGCAAACCACAGTATTGGGCTACGGTTCAGCTGGTTGCCTTTATGAAAGTTTTCGCTTGTTTTTAAAATGCTGCGACCCACCTCAAATCACATCGGTGCCTGCAAGTCTGTGCCGACTGTTTCTTTCCCAAATGGGGAGTCTTGTTTCAATAGGTACGGGGTTTTTTTGTCTTTTAGACAACCAGATGTTCCAGTACTTTATCACTGTTGTGCCAACAAAACTTCATACGTATAAAATCGCAGCGGAAACCCATCAGTTTTCAGTAACAGAAAGGGTAAGTCTGTGCGGGATGATAACTTGGGGAATGCCGGTGTAAGTTGTATATAAATCTTGTTCAAAAAAATATGTATCAATAAAATCTCTCTCTCGTTATATTGTGACCTGATTTTCTTTTTCCAAAAATTCACGAATTCAAGCTCTCCCTAAAGCTTTAAATGCTATTGAAGGGTGGAAGTCAACTGTACTTTACTCAGAGAAGACCCACTGAAATTAATGGAGCCAATTCTGTCATGCTTGTTAATTTCAGTGAGTCTTCTCTGAGCAAAACTGAGGCAAGAGACCATCTTGGCTGTTAGTCCTGGAAGACCTGCTCCCTGCTTTGCAGGCCTTTTCCTCCTGGGCTGGGAGGGTGGGGCCTGGACTGACTCCAACTACAAAAGCTGAGGCTGCTGAACAGACTATTGGGCTGGGGTGTTATTTACTGATACTAATTTTTTTGTATCTTTTTTCTAGATCTTACATTTGATGTAGAAATTGTTCAATTTTGTTGTGTGTTTTTCTCTGTTTTATTTATTAAAACAGCAAACGAATTATCATTGACAAATACTACATTTGTTACGCTTAAATTATGTAATTTTTGTGTGTGTTGTAAGCTGCCTTGAGCACAGTTTTAACTTTGGAAAGGAGGTGTGCAAATAAAATGAGCGATTGCTTGCCTGATTGGTGCCAACAAGGTTGGAGTTTTGCCACCCTCACTAAATAACATTTCATTTCAGTGCCACCTCACTGTTGCCAAGAAGATACTCACAAGCTCTGTTTTCCTGTCTTGTACAAGCAACATACTCCGTCTTTGCTTGCGCACAATCTAAAGTTGCTAAATTGTGTCCGGCTTTCCCCCCTGTTGCCAGGAAAGAGTGATAAACCACGCGGCAGGCAGTCATGGAGTGTCCGGGATTTTCATGAAATACGACATCAGTTCCCTTATGGTGACGGTGACAGAAGAACACATGCCCTTTTGGCAGTTTTTAGTGAGGCTTTGTGGCATCATTGGAGGAATCTTTTCGACGACAGGTACGAGCTCAGATTATGTTGCAAGGGTTTCATGAAGTCTATCAAGGGCCTGTTTCCTCCTTTTGCTATTTGAACTGTTTCCCTTCCTCCACGGCATAAACAAGAGTAGGTTCTCCCTCTCTTCCCCCCTTTTTGTTATTTCCCTAACTCCCACCCTGCTGACGACCGTGTCACTGCTTTTAAATCAGTGGTATTGGAGCGTCTCCACCCCCATCGTTCTGCCCGGACGCTGAGGTCCAGCTCCGAGGGCCTTCTGGCGGTTCCCTGACTCACTGCGAGAAGTGAGGTTATAGGGGACCAGGCAGAGGGCCTTCTTGGTGGTGGCACCTGCCCTGTGGAACGCCCTCCCATCAGATGTCAAAGAGATAAACAACTACCTGACATTTAGAAGACATCTGAAGGCAGCCCTGTTCAGGGAAGTTTTTAATGTGTGACATTTTAATGTATTTTTAATCTTTGTTGGAAGCTGCCCAGAGTGGCTGGGGATACCTAGCCAGATAGGCAGGGTACAAATAATAAATTATTATTATTATTATTATTATTATTATTATTATTATATTATATGGGAGAACAGCCACACACTCCTTAACCACGGGAGAATTTCAGAACCCTCACATGCTACATTTTCAGGTGTACCTGTTTTAAATGTGTACCTGAAGTGCAGCTGCGGCCCTCCAGATATCATCGGATTCCCAACCCCATCAGCCTAAACCTAAATCAGCTTAGGTTTATCCGGTGGCCCAGAATGATGGGAGTTGTAGTTTAGCAACATCTGAAGGGTCACAGGTCATAGAGTGTGAATGAAGAGAGAGTCTCTTCCTTTAAATTCCGGGGAGTTTACCTTAGTGAAGACCTCACTTGGAAAAACAATATAACTCAGGTGGTTAGCAAGGCCCCAACAGAGACTCCATTTTCTCAGGGTCTTGCGAAAGAACAATGTTAAACAGCCATTGATGACCTCCTTCTACCGGTCCACAATAGAAAGTGTCCTCTCATGTTGTATCACAGTGTGGTATGTTGGCTTGACAGCCACGGACAGAAAGTCTTTACAGAGGGTGGTGAACACAGCACATGATATCATGGGCTGTCCCCTGAGCCCACTAGATGACATCGCAAGGGACCGTTGCCTTAGTAGAGCGAGAAAAATTCTCAGGGATGATTCGCACCCCGGACAGCACCTCTTTAATCTTCTACCCTCAGGCATGAGATACAGAAGTATAATCAGTGGTACCAAAAACAGTTTCTATCCATGGGCTGTTAGGCTGCTGAAAATAATATAGTGCAACTAACTTTCGGGGTTGGTGTGTTGTGTGACAAGCACATAGAATGCAATGAGATTAAGTGTTGGCGGGGGGAGGCTCAGTTAATTTCATTGTACACGGGTTGTACATTGACAATAAAGGTATTCTTGTTATTATCATGTTTGCCAAATGGTACCTTAACACGAGGCGTGCTGTCAGGATGGGTTTCCATTCCCTGTTTTGTGTGTAGCCGGTAGCTGAACGTACGAAATGGTTCTCATTTTATGACTGATTGCAAAGCTACATGAATAATGAAAGAGCAGCTTTTCCATACGTCCAAATTGTTCTCCCTTTTGCAGGAATTTTACACGGCATTGGAGGATTCATAGTGGAAATCATCTGCTGTCGTTTCAGACTGGGCTCTCATAAATCTACATCTGTAAGTGTATTCTGAGGAACGGATCTCAGTGCTTAAATATGTGTTTTGCCTGCCAAAGAATTAAAAATAATAATAATAGATGGCATCCTTAGGGCTGAGAATAATAGAACACACACTTGCCATTACTGGCAGCCCAGTGGAATTAAAAGTCAACCGGGACGTGATCCAGACCATTATAAACTACTTTAAACTCAAGGAAGCCTTATTGAGTATTTCCTTATTGAGTGTACTTCTGCTTTCAATATTTAATTTTATAAAGCCACTGAGAATGCTAGCCTAGGCCAAGGAGTCAGAAAAACTGAGATTACCGTATTTTTCGCTCTATAGGACGCACTTTTTCCCCTCCAAAAATTAAGGGGAAATGTGTGTGCGTCCTATAGAGCGAGTGCAGGCTGCGTGGCTAAGCCCAAAGCCAGAATAGGGAGACGGAGCGCTGCGGAGCACTCCATCTCGCTGTTCTAGCTTGGGGATGGCTGCGCGCAAAGCCTCTGCAGGGCAGCGGGGCGCTGCGCTCTAAAGGCTTCAGGGATATTTGAGGCTGGCGGTGGGGGAAAGCAGCGCTTCCCCCCACCGCCAGCCCCACAAGCTCGGGTGAATGCACCTTGAACGCACCTTGTTTTAGAGGGGGAGAACAAGAAAAAAAATATTCCCCTGTTCTTCCCCTCCTATGGTCCGGTGCGTCCTATAAAGCGAAAAATACAGTACTTCTAAAGGAAGATTTTAGAGCAGGTGATAATAGTAGCCCTGGGATGGAGATTGGGAATCCTGCGGAGCAATAACACTCCTCATTATTTGCAGTATTGTCCAGCCAGCTCTGTCAAAAGAGGCTGATCTCGAAAAATCTCCTATGAAGCTGTATTCTGTTCAGTTCTTCTCGTCATACTCCCCCTTTTGTCAATAATAATAATAATAATAATAATAGTAATAGTAATTTATTATTTATACCCCGTCCATCTGGCTGGGTTTCGCCAGCCACTCTGGGCGGCTCCCAATCGAATATTAAAAACACAACGCATCATTAAACATTAAAAACTTCCCTAAACAGGGAATTATAATTGCTACTATCCTCCAGATCTGGCAAAAGGAACCAATGCAGAGAATAGTAACTCCTCTCTACCAGAAAGGAAGATCCAGGGATACACTTGCTCTTCTAGTTGTGAAACTCGCGCAATCTGGTTTTGATGTTTCCAGATCTGCTACTCAACACTCTTTCTTTGGAACAATCATTGGTACCAACTGGGGGGGGGGGGGGAGAACATTCCCATATATATTTTTGTTGGTTCATGGGTACTTTATGACCCATGGGGTCTAGGCAGATTATCCCTATGCTGAACCCAGTGAAATGAAAAATTGGGCAAAATGTTCTTTGGATCTGATCTAGGGTTTCAGAATCTCAGATGAGCTAGATTGCTTCCGGAACAGAATTCCAAGAGCTGGAGTGAGGAATTCCAGATTTACAAAGATCTGGTATTTGCAGCTGGAAAGGGAGTCTTTTGTCTGGTCTATAAAGATTTTCCAGCAAATATTTAATTATTGGCTAAAAACTTGAGGCACAGCTGAATTTTAGTCCACTGAGAGAACAATCCTGGCATCAAAATATGAAGTTTACTCCGGAAACTTGGCTATTCAGAGAACTTCTTAAAAAAATAATAATTTATTTTTCAGATTATAAAAATTTACAAACAATTATCAGACAACCAACGTAGAAAGGGAATTCCGAAGAATCTCCTGAGCTTCCCTCCTCCCCTTTGTGGGTCCTTATATTAACCTTTTCCTCCTGCATCTTGTCTATTAATCCTAATCTATTAAAACTCCAGTATACCCCAAATTCAACATAAAGCTTCAAGTGTTATTCCAATCCTACTAATAATTTTAATTGTTTACAGTGGTTTTTAAGGTAAATTATATATTTCCCACATTCCTGATTAAAATTTGGTCTTCCTGATTTCTGATTCTTCCAGTCATTTTTGCCAATTCGGCATACTCCATCAACTTGATCTGCCATTCTTTCTCTGGTTGGGACTCTGTCATCTTTCCATCTCTGGGCCAATAACATCTGAGCAGCAGTGGTTGCGTACATAAATAGTCTTTTCTGATCTGTTAAATTTTGGCACCTAGAATTTCTAAAAGGAAAGCTTCAGAGAACTTTTTTCCCCAAGAGATTTTTATTTTTTTTAACAATACTTTTGTGAAGTGTGTTGAAGTTTTATTACAACCGGGTGGTCTATAAATCTTGTGAAATAAATACAGAAAATCCCCTACACCTCAGTTCACTGCCTGCTCCTGAGTGAGGTCCTGTTGCAACACTGGGTCCAAGCAGATGCTCACACCAGTATTCCCAAACTGAGTTCCCCATTGGCTTTATGGGGTTTATTTGTGGAAAAATATTAGGCGGATGCGAGGAAGCGGGCGGCAGTAAATGAAAAACAGATAGAACGAATAAAGTGACTTTTTTTCCTGCTTCGCTTTCTCCTTTGTAGGTCCCAGTCCAAGATGGCCACCTAAACAACCACGTACCTCTGGTGACAGAAGACGCTATGCAGTAACACCTCCTTCAGAAACTCTCTCCCTTTCTTTCTGCCTGACGCAGAAGACATTTTTATAACGAAACATTGTGCAATATGTTAAGACCGTGCTAATGGGCAGCAGAAATAATCAAGCCTTTGAAAAGGGAAAAAAAAGGAAAAAGCAACCAACCAACCAACCAACCAACCAACCAACCATATCTGTGTGACTTGTCTGTCCTTTTAAGAATTCAGAAAGAGGCCATGGAATCTTCCGGAATGAGCAAGACTGTGGATGTGTCTGTAGTTCACAGCAGGACTCGACTCTTCCACATAAACAGAATTTGGGCCTTGAAATATCAACGTACAGCACTCTAGATTCCAGGTTTTGCCTATTTCTGACCAAAACTATCCGCAGACGTGTGAAATGTGTATTTTTCAATATACAGTGTAGCAGGATAATTAACAGAACTTGCTTCAGAATTGAAGTTTCATTATGGGTTGTTTTTTTAGAAAAGAAAACAGCAGCAGCAGCAGCAGCAGGTAACATAAGACGTATTTTAACTGCTATAATTGGAATATGGAAATCAAACACATGAAAGGAAGCAAATTGAAACACACTACCGAGAGTGGGTGCAGTTTTTTAAATGGGGCGGCTCTCTTGAAACAAACGATGTTGGGAAAACAACCCCCTCGCTTCTAGAGGGAAAACAGATAAGACAGAAAGTCATGCTGCCTCTTCATAATTTCACAGGTTGTCTCGAAGAACGGGGGCTTCATTTTGCTGGGGCCTGTGGAGGGGCGCATGCAAAAGGAGCTGATGGGGGGTTATTCAAATCTGGGAAATTTCTGAAGATTTGGGGCACATTTAAAGCATTTCACATGCCTGCACGCTAGATGCAAGTTCTCCTGAATGTACAGACGTTTATAAGTGTTCAACATAATTACAGAAAAGATCAGAATGGAGCCTACTGGGAAAAACAGATGCATTTAGGCATACTGAATGCTTGACAGTTGCAGTCCCAGTGAATTCAGTGAGGCTTACTCCCAGCTAGGTTGCTAGGTTGTGGTTGTGAGATTGGTGTATATACCGGCATTGAACTTAAGAGATGGATATGACAGGTTCTCATTCAGGGCCCTAGGACATATATAGCAAACTTTAGCTGGCTAATATTTATTTCCCAAAGACTTATTTGAAGAACTTGATGAAGAGAAAAGAAAGGTGGAACGCTCTCAAAAGCGTCCCTTGCCTTGCAGAAATTAGGTTATAAATTTAATGTGCAATGCTTGGTGCTACTTGAATATCAATGGGACCAAAGGGCTTATCTTCCATGTTAGATGGACAGGCCAAAGTGGAAAGACCAGTCAGAGTTTTGATGTTAAAATTGGGGTTTGGCTTTTGCTGCTGAACTCTCCAATGGGACTCTTGTTTCCCCTTAGTCCGTGATTGGTCAGAGAAGAATGGATGGAGGCAGGATCCAGTGGAAAGCAAGGCAGATATTAATTTTTCTCTTGCAACAGATTTCCCTCCTCTCCTTCCAAGGAGGGAGAGACCCTGAACAAAAGGGTGCTGGAACCTTTAAAAACTTTTGACCACCCCAAAATCATCATATATAAACCATAGGAGGTGGTCTGCAGCAGAAATCCTGTCTGCCAGGATGCCTGATAATGGTCTCTGGTTGCATTACCTGGCAGCCTGGCCATTCTTTTGTGATGGTTAATACTTTAGTTCCTGAATCCAGGTCCCAGGCTCACCCTATTCATACACAAAGACAGGATTTGTAAGCAAAAAGACAATGGGAAGCCTTTCTCCATTTGCCTCCCTTGCTGCAGAGGAATATTTGAGGTCACTGAGAGAGTCAGAATGGCTTCAGGATTCCTCTCCTGGACTATTTCAGACATATGGTTTATATATTTAGATATGTGTGTATTTATGAATATTTTTTCTATATTTCAAACCTTAAAATTCTTATAACAGATGCTCAAGGATAAGGAAAATAAGATAGCACTGAATACGATGGTAGCTATGGAAAGCCTCTTTCCACGACAGTACTACTCTCTGGAACCCCAAGCAGATAGCGAAAGACTGGGGTACATGGGGTATGTGTGTGTTTCTCATCCCGATTGTCAAACCACATGGGAAATTGCATTCAGACAGCTGCTGGGTAGAATGCTGCCTTGCAGACACCATTTTCAATGGGTTTGATGCCAAGTTGAAAAAACGGGAAGAAGTCCTGAGTGATGGAAAAGTGTCTAGTGTTTATTGAAGTAGATGTTGCTTAACAATGTGGCTAAGATGGTCTTTGAGCTGGGAACCTTGGGTTGACGCCACCCCCAACCATAACTTTGCTAAAACTGGTCTACCCAAGTTTGCCCATCTGTAAAATGGGAATAAAATTGACCGACCTGCAGGCTCCTCGTGAAGATGAAGGTGATAAGGATTTAATAGTGTGTTGAAAGTATTCTAAAATGATAACCACATTGTCAGAATGACATTTTATGAACAAAGGATGGAACATGCACTACGTTTGCCTGAGAAATGTCCGCCTGAAATAGCCTCCTGGTTGCAATTGATTCCTCCTTGCTTGGAATTATGTCTGTCTTCTGAGTCTTTTTATCTGTTTTGTGAAGCCAAGGTGTAGAGCAGGCTTTCCCAGACCTGAGTCTCCAGCTGTTTTTGGACTACAACTCCCATCATTCCTTGCTAGCAGGACCAGTGGTCAGGAATGATGGGAACTGTAGTCCAAAAGGAGCTGCAGACCGACGTTTGGGAAACCCTGGTGTAGAGATTGGCAGCATCATTCTGATCCATAAGAACAACACCATTGGGGCCATTGAGAAGCCTTCTTTGGTAGCATTGCTATGTCATCACACCTGCTCTTGTCCCTGGGAATAAGGTATCGTCATGTTGAACGAGTTCCTAAATGTTGCCTGTAGTGAGTTCATGGATGCTGAACCTGTGGCCCTCTGATGGTTGCTGTTGGACTTTGACTTCCTTCTGTCCCAGCCAGCAAAGCCAGTGTCCAGCGATGGTGCCAGTTGAGAGCCCAGCTACACCCGGAGGGCCGCAGGTAACACACTTAGGTTCAGAGGTTCTTAACACATTCTTACATAAATGCATGTAAGAGACACTCTAGTTATAAGCAGAAGAGAGCAGACCAGCTTTGTTGGCAGCAGTATAATAATGTATTTTATATAAAGGTAAAGGGACCCCTGATCATTAGGTCCAGTCGTGGCCAACTCTGGGGTTGCGGCGCTCATCTCGCTTTATTGGCCGAGGGAGCCGGCGTACAGCTTCCGGGTCATGTGGCCAGCAGTACTAAGCCGCTTCTGGCGAACCAGAGCAACACACGGAAACGCCGTTAACTTCCCGCCGGAGCGGTACCTATTTATCTACTTCCACTTTGATGTGCTTTCAAACTGCTAGGTTGGCAGGAGCAGGGACCGAGCAACGGGAGCTCACCCCGTCGCAGGGATTCGAACCGCCAACCTTCTGATCGGCAAGCCCTAGGCTCTATATTGGCAGTCAAAAGGAGAAAGGCATCATCTGGAGCAGGTGTCATAGAGCAAGTCATAAAGTGATCTCATACGCAAGTGTAGAACTGTAGACATCTTTGGACTGTGGTCAATTTCAATGGGCAATATCCAACCAATCCGGTCAGCGTAAGGATTTCTGCTTGTGCAGTGGAGTCCCACCCCCTTGAAATAACCCCCTTAATCTGTTATGGGGTTTTCCCTCCCCACCCCAAGAAAGCAGATTTTTGTTTATGTAAATCCCTGTACTGATGGAACGAGTTAGTTGGATATAGCCAGTAGTTCTTCTCTGAGTATGACTTAATTTGGAAGTTGCCCATAACCATTCACTTTTATCTTGCATTTTCCTTTACAGCCTTAATCCTCCCCCCTCCCCCCAAATACAGTGGTACCTCGGGTTAAGTACTTAATTCATTCCGGAGGTCCGTACTTAACCTGAAACTGTTCTTAACCTGAAGCACCACTTTAGCTAATGAGGACTCCTGCTGCTGCCGCGCCGCAGGAGCACAATTTCTGTTCTCATCCTGAAGCAAAGTTCTTAACCTGAAGCACTATTTCTGCGTTAACGGAGTCTGTACCCGAGGTACCACTGTATTCTAATAACAGCGGTAATGGTCAGAATTACAGAAGTGCTATGGAGCAAATACAGGTTATATAGGGTGACTTACTCCACTGATCTTCAGCATAGAGTTATCTTGATGGCTGCAAGGAACAAGCATCTGAAATGTTCTCCTGCTTTAGTATTTTAGAAAAATATTTTAAACCAGTTAAACTCCTATGGTTTTCTCTATGTGGAAAGTAACCTGTGTATTCATCAAGGACCCAAAATGATAGGAAACGCCATCAGCAGCTCCTGCATTGCATGCTGTCTCTGCGCAGGAGGGGAGTTTTCTAACAGAACTTCAAAGTGAATTGTTTTCCAGCAAGAAAGCAATCCTGCAGAAACAGGATTCTTAAGATTCCAGACTTAATTTTTGCCCGAGGAACTTATTTTGTTCATTGACTGCTCTCCGGTTTGAGATTCATCTGCAGGAAATGAACTACTTTCATTTACTTGCAAATTGAATGCAAACTAACAGCTGTTGGTACTTGACAAACAGGGCCAAGTTTAGGGATACAAGCTTCTGAAAATGGTCTATGTATGAACTTTCAGAAGGTCTCAGGTGGCTTCATTTTGAGGTCTGCAAGGTGTGCTTATTTATCAAGGTGGTCTTCCAGCTTTCTTTGAGAAACCTCCTGCTTACTGTATCACACTTCCTCTAAACATATTTCACTTTGAACAGGACTCCTTTTCAGGTGAGTAGTTGGGTAATATACCGTATTTTTCGCTCTATAACACGCACCTGACCATAACATGCACATCGTTTTTAGAGAAGGAAAACAAGGGGTGGGGTGGGATTCTGAATGAAACAGTGGATGTATCATTTTTGTGCTTCATGCTGTGGCCACAGACATGTGATCTGATGGTGAATTTGGGGTGACCCAATGCAAAAATCCTGAGAATCCATGTGGATCCATGCTTTGTAACCACGTTTTTGCACCATTGGAGTCCCAGGCAACAGTGGGTGTGTGATTTTTGGGGGGCAGGCTGCAGCCATGGACATGCTATGTGAGCTGATGGTGAATTTGGGGTGACCCAATGCAAAGATCCTGAGGATCTATGTGGATCCATGCTTTGTAACCACATTTTAAGTGGGGAGGGAAGGAAAAACACAGAAGGGACAAGGAGCACAAGAGGGGTGTGCAGAGAAGCAGCTGGCTAAGAATGCAGGAGAGGGATTTAACGGGAGGGAGGAAAGGAAGGCAAAAGTTTCCCCCCACCCACCCACCCAAGACAGCCCTCTCTCTCTCTCTCTCTCTCTCTCTCTCTCTCTCTCTCTCTCTCCCACCTGCATGTTTTCCGGCTGCCTGCGAGTCCCTAGACGCAGCAGCAGCAGCACCGGAGCACGGAGAGGAATTAGAAGGAAGGATGCTCTGCTTTCCCCTCTGCTTGCCTGGAGGGGAGGGGCTTTCCTTGCTCTTTGTTCCGTTTGAGCAAACACAGCAAAGAAACAGAAGAGGGTGGGCAGTAAGACCCTGAGGCAGAATGCAGGAAAGCAGCAGCTTCCTCTTTTCTAGCTTCCCTTCTCCGTTTCGCGCGATTTGATTTTTGCCTGATTTTTGCCCCTGCACTCCTGCAGGGACCACACATTCGCTCAATAACACGCACAGACATTTCCCCTTCCTTTTTAGGAGAAAAAATCTGCGTGTTATAGAGAGAAAAATATGGTATTTTAGGATCATGCTTTCATCCAGCCCAGGGTTTCCCAAACTTGGGTCTGCAGTTGTTTTTGTACTACAACTCCCATCATCCCTAGCTAGCAGGTCAGGGATGGTGGGAACTGTAGTCCAAAATCAGCTGGAGACCCAAGTTTGGGAAACCCTGATCCAACCGTAAGTTAACTCAGACTGACGATGTAACTTATTTCAGTCATGGCTTAGGTCACAACAATGGAAAGATTGTACAGCACATTTGTTTAGTGGTACAAATAGTTGCCAAACCAACACAGAACTGGGAACAGCTATTTCAAAATAGAATTTATTTTTCCATTTCGATTTGAGATTTCGGAAGATAACTACGAAAACATACTGTGGAATTTTCTGAAGATCGAGGCATTGTCTTAATTGCATTGATTCTTGAAACCACTGGCTGTGGTTACATAGGAAATCTCAAAACCACATTCTGTTAATGTTTGAGAGTATGGGGCAAGGGCAGACAAGAAACCATTTAAAATAGGATTACGTTAGTGACCACCGCAAATCTGGCAGCTGCTGGCAACAGTGTGCCGACATTTATACTGTGCCGTTTTTCCTGTGGGGCACATATTGTCGAAACGTTTCTTCGCCTTGCAGCAAGGACACCTGTTCAGCAATTTACGGTCAACGTCCCCATACCTGAAACGAGAATAAAACAGGAGAGAAAAACGTGATGAGCTGATAATAAAAATACTCTTTTTAAAATTGAACAGAATCCAGTGCTGAAGGGTTCGAACCTGTGTTTTTAAAGCACTTTCTAGCAAGTGGGTCTGGGGAGATTCCTTAAAGCCACAGCTGTAAAGATGAAAAAGACTGGCCCCATTCCAGCGCTAGCTGTATGTACTGGGCATCCCAATCCCTATCAGTGGAAGCAGCCAAATTGTTCAGTGGGTCCCCTGTGAAAACCATGGTCCAAATGCCACTGCAGCCGTGTGCCTTTCGCATGCTGAAGCGAGAGGACCATGTGCTGCGGAAATGGCTGGAAAAAATCACTGCATTCTACTGTGTGATTGTCTAGCAGAATTGTTCCCCACAATCTACGGTACCTTCACCTCCCCTGTTCAATACAATGTATGCAGCTTATTCTAGATGTCTATGAAGACGCACCAAAGTCAACTTATTTTGGCATTCCCCAACACACTATGCCATCAGGATTTGGCCTTTGTAGCTGTCTGCATTAACTGTTCCCTTCACCGGAACCAGCTTACATTCATTTACACCTAGTAAGGATAGTAAACACAGCTGAAGCATCGGACGACGTGAAAGAGCTTCAGTAAAGAGCTAAGTTTTTGAACTATAATAATAATAATAATTTAATATTTATACCCCGCACATCTGGCTGGGTTTCCCCAGCCATTCTGGGCAGCTTCCAACAAAACACTAAAATAAAATAACTGTTGCTCTTGTACTGTGATTTTATCTGATTTATCACAAAAGGGTTTTCTCTACTACTTCTAGAAAATGCCCAAAGAGAATTTTAAACTTGCACAAGAAATAAAGGACTATGAGCCTCAAGGGACAGCAGTTTCTTTGTATTTCTTGGATAGGCTAGGTTTTAAGAAGAAGAAAAGGGGGAAGTAAATGTTTCCCCAGTCTGGAAAACCCAAATAACGAAAGGTAGCAATGTTGGCGTTGCCTCCGAGCAAAACTGTGGGCCCCAAAGCCCGATTCAGCACGATTTAATTCAGCTGATCCTGTTCTCTCAAAATTGTGATTCTTACAACTGCAGTTTCGAATCACAATTCGGATCACAGCTTCATTATGCTTATACCGCAGGAGCAGCTTTTAATGGTGATCAAAATTATCTCCCATCCCCAGCTACCGGCAATTTGTTTGCCACATGATTCTAGAAAATGGCCTTCAACACTGAATGCTAACAAAAAAGAACATTGCCTTGTATGAAGTGCTTGCTGTGCGTCCAAGCGACAGGGTCAGGAATGAAAGCTTTTATTCAGAACTCTCGCTGTGAGAGAGAAAATTCAGCTCACCTGGTAGTATTTATTTTGAAACCGACATGAGGTTGGTACTGAAAAAACAAATATATATAGAGAGAGATCTCATTATTCAGCTGCTGCAAGCACATTCTGCACATTTCTGCAATAGTAATGGGCACTGCTGATAAACTGGGAGGCTTGCTGTTCCTACAAAATAAACCTAATGTGCCTTGGGCCCTGCCCAATCCACTTCAGGCTATTTGCTATCCAATTCTCTCTAGGTTTACTCTGAAGTTAGCCCCTGGGATGATTCCCAGGTAAGTGTGTGAGAGATTGCAGTTCTTACCTCTTAAATGGGTTGGTAAAATCTTATTTGCAATGTAATAAATGCAGATATATTTATACATACATATAAATTTATACATGCATATATTGGGTGGGGGCAGGCTTTAAATTAGGTGGGGCAGGACCTCAGTTACTGAAGCATTTTTTTTTTACTTACTTGACTGGGGGGGCTTGCCCCTCCCCTGTTGTTGTTGTTTAGTCGTTTAGTCGTGTCCGACTCTTCCTGACCCGATGGACCAGAGCACGCCAGGCACTCCTGTCTTCCACTGCCTCCCGCAGTTTGGCCAAACTCATGCTGGTAGCTTCCAGAACACTATCCAACCATCTCGTCCTCTGTCATCCTCTTCTCCTTGTGCCCTCAATTTCCCAACATCAGGGTCTTTTCCAGGGAGTCGTCTCTTCTCATGAGGTGGCCAAAGTATTGGAGCCTCAGCTTCCGGATCTGTCCTTCCAGTGAGCACTCAGGGCTGATTTCCTTAAGAATGGAGAGGTTTGATCTTCTTGCAGTCCATGGGACTCTCAAGAGTCTCCTCCAGCACCATAATTCAAAAGCATCAATTCTTTGGCAATCAGCCTTCTTTATGGTCCAGCTTTCACTTCCATACCACACTGCTGGGAAAACCATAGCTTTAACTATACGGACATTTGTTGACAAGGTGATGTCTCTGCTTTTTAAGATGCTGTCTAGGTTTGTCATTGCTTTTCTCCCAAGAAGCAGGCGTCTTTTAACTTTGTGGCTGCCGTCACCATCTGCAGTGATCATGGAGCCCAAGAAAGTAAAATCTCTCACTGCCTCCCTTTCTTCTCCTTCTATTTGCCAAGAGGTGATGGGACCAGTGGCCATTATCTTCGTTTTTTTGATGTTGAGCCCCAAGGCTACGCCTATGAGTCTCCTCTGTATAATCCACCAGTTTACTATAAGTCTGCACCACCAAGAATTAATAATCCATTCCTCTAAGGAGATGCTACAGCCAGCCTCCATGTGAAGATCTCTCATTAAGCAGGGGTGAAACCTGCCTTTATTTCACCCGGTTCAAAGACCCAGTTTGGCACCTACCCACCCCACATTTGCGTACACACATTCACAGGCTTTGAGCCTCAATGGTGCCCCTCTGGAGATTTCACCTGGGGCAAAAAAAGGCTAACCCCCCCATAGCTCCAGCTCTGCATTCAGTTTTCTGCATTGCTGCTTCTAATTGATCTTCCTTTAAAACTCTTACTTCTTGTCACATATGGAACAAAGAAGAAGAAAACATACCTGGAACTGTAGGGCATTCTGTACGAAAAGGGAAAAGCAAAAGCAAATTAGTTATGAGCTATACGTGGGTGGCGCTGTGGTCTAAACCACAGAGCCTAGGGCTTGCCAATCAGAAGGTCGGCAGTTCAAATCCTGTGATGGGGTGAGCTCCCGTTGCTCGGTCCCTGCTCCTGCCAACCTAGCTGTTCAAAAGCACGTCAAAGTGCAAGTAGATAAATAGGTACTGCTCCAACAGGAAGGTAAATGGTGTTTCCGTGAGCTGCTCTGGTGCGCCGGAAGTGGTTTAGTCATGCTGGCCACATGAACTGGAAGCTGTACACCGGCTCCCTCAGCCAGTAAAGCAAGATGAGCGCTGCAACCCCAGAGTCGGTCACAACTGGACCTAATGGTCAGGGGTCCCTTTACCTTTATACTTTGAGAGGGGAAAGTGAACGGTGATCAAGAAACAGTAAGTTATAACTGAGATAATAGCAGTACCTTCTTGAATAGAGAAAGTCTGGCCACTGCTGCCCAAGCTCTAAATTGTTGCAGGGAGCTACTGGCTACTAGTCTATTTTTTTTGTTGTCTCTGAAGATTTTTCTACTGGTCTATTTTCAGGCACATTTCAAACGGTGCTTGCGTACAAGGGGTAGGGACCCTGTGGCCTTCCAGATGTTGCTGGACTCCAACTCCCAGAAGCCCCAAACAGCACGGCCAGCGATGAGAGTCCTCCATCTCTGCTACATTCCGACTGAACTTTCCGACAGTAAGAGCTGTTCAACAGAGTCTCTTAGAAGGTGGTCTCTCCTTCTAGCGTTTAAGCAGAGGTTGGATGGCCATCTGTCATATATGATCTAGTCAAGATTCCTGCCCTTTCCAGCTCTACGATTCTATATTTTGGGACCTGGATTCCTAAAACGCTTCATTTTACTGCATGAACATGCCCGAAAAACCTTGCATCTACCCTCTGAGCTTCTCCTCTGGGTTCCCCTCCCCCCCCCACTCCTCAACAATCTGAAATTAAGTGGGGTGGTGACTGCAGAGAGAAGACTAATCTTATTAATTTAAAACATTATATACTGCATTTCTTTATAAAACCAAAGCAATTTAACAAAAAAATATTAATAAATCATGACACGTAATAAAATGGCTCGAATTACTGTATTTTTCGCTCTATAAGACACACTTTCCCCCTCCTAAAAAGTAAGGGGAAATGTGTGTGCGTCTTATGGAGCGAATGCAGGCTGTGCACCTTTCACTGAAACCAGGAGAGCAAGAGGGATTGATGCGCACCGATCCCTCTTGCTCTCCTGGCTTCAGGGATAGCTGCCCGAAGCCTCCTGAGCGCAGCGGGATCGCTCCTGCTGTGCTCAGGAGGCTTCGCGCTGCTTTCGCTGAAGCCAGGAGAGCAAGAGGGATCAATCCCTCTGGCTCTCCTGGCTTCACTTTGGTGGAGAGCCGCTGCACAGGTTTCCCGCTCTGCGCAGCGCCCCTTCTGCGATGTGGCAGGAGAAACGGTGCTCCGTTTCTCCTGCCACTTCGCTGAAGGGGCGCTGCACTGCTCGCTCTCTCTGTGCAGCGCCTCTCCAGCAAAGTGGGAGGATAAATGGAAGGGGCTCCGCTTCTCCTGCCGCTTCGCTGAAGGGCGCTGCGCAGAGAGGGAGAGAACATTTTTTTTCTTGTTCTCCTCCTCTAGAACTAGGTGCGTCTTATGGTTGGGTGAGTCTTATAGAGCGAAAAATATGGTACAGTAAAAGCACTTCACATTGCTAAGATGCATGAGCAGATGCGCCACATGTCTCCACCATGGGGCTGAAAGCATAACCATCTGCACAAAATCAAAGCTGTCTTAGGACTCCCCACCAACCACATCAAGATCTGCCCAAAGAGGTGCGTGGGGATAACCCTACTATGACATCAAAACTTCCTTGTGGAAAAGCTCTCGAGTCTCAAAACCCTGATCTTGGGGTGCCTCTTTTAGGGAACAGGTCCAGATAAACACACACAAGTGCATGCAGGTGAACACACACACACACATTGTTGTAAGCAAATAATGCCTTATCTCCTGCGTTATGCCAGTAAAGAAAACTCAGGAGACTGGGGGGTAGAAGTCCAACATTGTTTATTGCAAAGCAATAGGTTACAATGGGATAGCTTTGCAAAAGTTGCAACCCCACCCAGTGGTCCAGGCAGTGGTATTTATAAAGTTTCAAACAAAGCATTTCAATTTCCACCAATCGTACATCATTACCTCATTTAAGTTGATAGATCAATCCTATGCATAAGCATTGGCTGTTTCTGCTGACTAAGCTCGGATTCCCACCGTGTTCTGCGATGACCTTGCAGGCGTACATTGTGTTAGTGTGCATGTTGGGAACCTGTGTCACGTGTAGCCATTTGCATCATGGAGCAACTTATGTTCTAGCTTTGTGCTGTATCTTTGTGATTTACCGTACATATTAGCTGTATTTCTGCCCCCAACGAGAGTGGCACATGTTGAAAAATAATCAGTTTCATAAAGTAACAGGCTACCATAACTTCTCTATTAGAAGCACACTCAAGGATTTACAGGGGTACACATTATCACCTTTATTGTGGCTCTTTGGGTCACTCCCACAAGATCACCCCACACTGGTTACACCCAGGGAACACATTGGGGGGAAATAAACAGGGTTTTTTTAAACTGAGGAACGGAATTCCAATCAATAAGATTTATAGGGCAGGGCTAACATCTAACGAAAGAATGGCAACTTCAACTGATGGAATATGCACAGTTTGCAGACCTAACATATAGAATAAGAGAACAAGAAGAACATACGTTTAAAGAAGATTGGACAATGTTTATTGAATATATGGGGGGAATTGTGTATACTTGAAAACGTTTGCATGATTAAGATAAATTCAACAATGTAAATAAGTTTTGATGCATGTGATAATTTAATGAAAATTGTGTGTGTGTGTGTGTGTGTGTGTGTGTGTGTGTTCAATGTGGGATTGGTGGTTTGTTGTTATTGTTGTTGTTTGTAGTGTGCACAGGGTAGATAAGATGCCAGGAATGAGGTGTGCACCTTCGACGAGGTACCACATTAAAGACATGCTTTTGAAGGGTGAATGAATTAGGTCTCCAAGGACTGAAGCAGGCATATAGAAAAGTGATGCCGCATAAATATACCAGGACCCAGGACAGAGTACAAACCTAGAATTACAGAATAGTGGAACTGGGGGCCACACCAAAGGCCATCTAGCCCAACCCCCTGCAATGCAGGAATCACAGCTTAAGAGTCCCTGACAGATGCCCCCCCCCAACTTGCTCTGCTTCAGGACCCTTTGCCTATTGCTTCATTACAGAGGCCAGAATCCACCCATCCACCTCAGCATCGTCTACACTGAATGGCAGCATCTCTCCCGGGTTTCAGACAGGGAACATTCTCTGCCCCACCCGGAGATGTCATCCAGGATTATCTGTGAGGATGGGGATAATGCAAAGCAGATGGTCTACTCCTGTGCTATGGACACGCCTAGACTTGGGAGTCTTCTACTGCATTTCAAGGGACGTTGGGATTGTCTCCCTTTGGAAATGGGGCTGAATGAAGAATGATCCGATATAAAAACATGAACTCCAAAAGAGAAGATTCACCTGCAGACAGAACAGCAGGTGCTTCAAAGTTCTGAAGAAACATCGGGGGAGGGGGGGGAGTTTGGCACAGGTGGGGGGTTGCCATGGGAACAATGACCTGCCCTCCTTTGTGACATCTCCTGCTTCCCCTTTAAAAACCACCAACTACAGGTGTCCATTGTGGGTTTGTGAGGAGAGACAGAGAGAGAGGTGGGAGTGCAGAAGGAGATTTAGGAGAGGCTTTGTTTAAATAGGAGGCGGAGGCAACAGCAACAATGCGGTCAATTCCAGAAATCCAGGAGGAAGGCAGAATCAGCGGACTTGTCCTTTGCGGGACAGAATGGTAAGTTTGTGGGGCCCCATCCTATTCTTTGCCCCACCTCCTTCTCCCCAGAACGATTCCCGTAGGTTCATTATCACATGGTGCTGATAATGCCAAGGTTGCAGGCTTGCACAGCTGCACTGCCCGCAGAATCCTTTAGTCTATCTTCCCTAAATTGGGGGGGGGGCCCTGAAGTGGTGACTCACCCCTCCCCACGGTGGCGATTCCAGGGTCCCCTCTTAAAGGGGTTTGTATAAGGGAGTTACACTGAAAAGTTGTCAGTGAACTCCCCTGCGTTGCAGGGATATGGGGGTGGGCTGCCAGCGTACACAAACACCTTGTTGTGCATCCTCCCCTATCCCATTCACCCTGAGGAGCCCCTGTTCCCCCCGGCTGGGGGGCTGGGAGGGAGACACGCCCAATGCCTAAGCCAAGGTCTTCCTACATGTGAAAGGTTTAATAAATCTGTGGCCAATTTTTTATTCCAGAACACGTTGTCACGAGTCATCTTTCCTTCTGGTGGGTCTCTCGGGGCTGGGGGGCGGGTCTCCGCCTGGGCACACAATGAGCGCTCACACCTTCCTTTGGGGGCACCCTTTGAGGGACCGCGCACAGCACCTCTGTCCACTTGGGACCCATCAGCTGGCTGGGCTGGCCTGCCTCCCTGTGCTAGTCATTGGAGGTTCCTGCCAAACCTCAGTTAACCAATCAGCCCTGCAGGGAGGCGGGGCCAGACTGCTTAAATAGGAGGCGGAGCTGGCAGCAACCATGTGATTGGCTCCAGAGCTTCACCCACCCAATCCTCCCTTTCTCTAATGCTCCTTTCATTCTAGCTGTTTCAGATCATAACCGTAGATACTTCCCTCTTCCTCCATGAATAGGGGTGACCCCTATTGGCAATTCTTTATTAGGCTAAATGTATTTCTGTTCTGCGTCACCTCTTCTAGGCTCAGGCGAATGAGAAGCTTCCTTCAGGTCAAAAGGAGCAATAAAGTGGCCCCGCTGCACCACAAGGAGCCTCCTGTGACTCCAGGTGAGGAAGTACCTCCCCCCACAGACACCATTTTTGGAAGGGCAGGGCAGGAATAGGCTAGGGGGGCAGCTCAGGGTATAGGATTTGTGGGGGAGGGCAGGCTAGTAAGAAAAAAAGTCGAAAAAGCCAGACTGCTGGATCTGGCAGGAGGCCGAGGCAGCTGATAGGACAGGGCTAGGGGACAGTGGTCAGCTAGAGGGCCACATTCTCTTGTGAGCTGCATTCGGGGGGCTGCAGGCCAAGATTGGCCCCCAAGGCCTGGGGTTTGCCACCCCTGTAGGAGGAGTGTAGAAGCAGGGGAATCAAGGAGAAGATTCTTGGAACAATCTTGGAAGCTGCAAAAGGACGAACTAACCTGTCCCCATGTCCTTCTCTTGTTGCAGTGGTGACAAAACTCTTCATGACTGTTCCGAAGCCTGAGGTTAGTACTGGGGGAAACAAAAGAGAAGGGAGTGGATCTCCCAGACCCTCTGCCTGCTGACTGTGGTCTTTGCCCCCAATTCTGCAGGTGGCATGGGTTCTTGGGGTGTCAGGATGATGCCAGAGGCATGTCCTGCCCTCTTCCCTGGTGCTGCCCTTCCACCTCTGCCCAGGAGGCTGCAGGGCCCATGGAGGTCCTCTGGGGCAAGGGATGGGGCCCAAGCCTGAGGGAGGCCACTCTTTCCTGGCTTGGGCCTGCTTGTGGGCTCCCTTGCACCTGTCAATGGTGGGTTTTGTAGTTTCACCAAAGGCGTCTCATCCAGCTTTCTCTTTCCTCTGCAGAAGGCAATGGCCCGACACCGGTCCCGTGTTCGGCCAGCACCTAAGGAAGGTAAACGAATCTCCACACCTTGGGGACTTTTCACTTAGTAGCCTTATGGTTCGTGCCCAAGAAAGACCTCCCAGGCCTCCTTGCTGTGCCTTGCAGGCCTTTTTCACTTCGCCTCAGTAGGCAGGGCCCTGACTGACTCCAGCTACAAAAGCTGAGGTGGTTGGACCCTTGGGTTTGGGTATTGTTTGGCAGGCGTTGTTGAGAGAGGCTGTTAATTCAATTTCTCTTTTTCATTCTCTTCCAGCGGACATCATTGTCGAAGATCTTGAATGAGCTTCAGGGAACTTCTGGCAGAGCCGTGGCCATTGAAAGAAGCGCGAGATAGCCCTCCATGGAATCTCAAGCAACGCGGGGGCTTTTTAGAGGTTCAGCGAAGGCTACGCAGACCTCAGATGCTCAAGAGGTTATCTTGGGGGATTTGGCACCCGGCGGTGCCCGGTCCTGCTCTCCTGCTCTTCAGGGCGCAGGAAGGGAGTCCGTCCCGGCAGCTGGGAGAAGATGGCATATGGCGGAAGGTTGCAGGAGGAGCAAGGAATTACTTTGTGAGGAGGAAGACACCGGAAAGCCCATTCCTTACTGCTTTTGGAGTACGTGGCGTTTTCTTGAGGCTTCCAGTGGACTAAGCCGATAAGCGGACTTTGTTGGGGGATTTTAAGACAGTGCTGGAGGAGGAGATTTTGGCGCTGGGACTTATAAAATTCACCCCCTTGCCAGCATTGTTTCGTGAGGAGGAAGACATTGGAAACCCTGTTCGCTATTGTTGCTGGAGTTTGTGGCGCTTTTCAGAGGTCACCAGTGGATTAAGCCGACAAGCGGCGGAAAAAGAAGAATGCAAATTGGATTACAAATACCTTCCTTTTAATGTTTTAATGTATTTATATCTTGTTTTTTCAGTTGTATTCATTTAACTTGTTTTTATTATTGGCTGTTCGCCGCCCTGAGCCCGGCCTTGACTGGGGAGGGTGGGGTATAAATAAAAATTATTTATTATTATTATTATTATTATTATTATTATTCCTCATATACAGTAGTTTGGTTTTTCTGCTCTTTGTTTCCTGTGGGCTTTCTTTGGACACGATGGTGCAATAGACAAAGAAGACGAAAGTAACTGTACTGAAGGAAAGGTCATTTCTGTGTTTGCTGCCATCGTGTGGGACGGGAGGGAATTTGACCTAATAATAGAAAGCTTGGACTTACGACCCCTGGAGGTTGTCAAAAAATTACACAGGACAATTTGAGACCCAAACAGTATTCTGGGGCAAAATAAACATCATGTCTGGGAAAAAGGGAATAGGCACACCAGGGGAAAGACATCCCTCTAGGCAGGAGAATGGGGAGGAGGGGAAGGAGATCAGAGACTATGAAAGTTTAATGGTGGAAATAAGGAAAGAATTTAAACAGAATGAACAACATATGGAGAACAAATTATTGGAGGTACAGGAAACATTAGATAAAAAACTAGAAGCAGTCGGGGGGTGGAATTGTCAGGCAAAGTAAAAGACCTTACAGTTAGATCCAAGGCTGTGGAAGACTCAATGAAACACACACAGAAAGAATTGAAGGAGACAAAGAGACAGAACGGGTTAGAGGAGAGGTCATAGAAATTAATAAAACGCAAGAAGAGATGGAGCCAAAATAATAAAAGAATTAGCGATTTGGATGGACCTAAAAGAAGAAGATATAAGATTTACAATTGTAAATGTTTTTAGAATAAAAGTAAAATCCGCAAAAGCAAAGGTGAAATAACCAGGAGATGTCCTGGTTATGTTTAATTCAATGGATATAAGGAATGAAATTTTGAGACTGAATTATAACAAAAATTTATGTATTGAAGGTAAGACAATTATCATATTTAAAGAGATTCCATCTAGATTCCTTTGAAAAAGAGACATTTATAAACAACTAGTTGGCCTGTTGAAGAAAAATGGGATCCAGCACAGATGGGAGATTCCGGAGGGAATCTCCTTTTATTACAAAGACAAAAGATTCAAATTATGTAGTCTTCAGGACTTAGAGAAGTTCTCCAGAAGATATGACAATGAACTAGGGAAGATAGAGAAGGCCAGACCAGGACGAGACCAGGAGGAGGAAGAAAAGAAGAAAGAGGAAGAGGAACAAGAGGAGGAAGAAGAAAAAGAGGAAGAGGATAATAATTAGGACCCCTAAATTTAAGCGAGACTTATATTAATTGGACAATGGCCTTGAAATTATTGTCATGGAACGTGAATGGACTTAAGACTGGAGAAAATTTCTTGAAAGGTATTAGCAGACACTATATATTCAGAATAAAAAGCAAAATTGATTATTAATAATAACTTGTCTGACAATTTTGAGATCTCTAAGGGCACTAGACGGGGTGTCCTTTGTCACCCTTGTTTATTACGGTTTTGGAGGTATTGAATAAGAACTTGAGAGACGTGTCAGAAATGAGAGGTATAAAGGAGGAACAAAGGAGTACAAAATGAAAGCTTTCGCAGATGATCTAGTTTTAACCCTGGAAGATCCAAAAAAATAGTATTAAAGTGGCTTTAAAGAATATGGAAGATTTTGGAAAGGTATCTGGGTTTAAACTTAATAAAACTAAAACAAAAATGTTAGTAAAGAATATGATCAAAGAAGAAATAAAAGAACTACAAACATCCTCAGGTATTATGGTGGCCAAAAAAAGTGAAATATCTGGGAATCTGGTTGACATCAAAAAATATTAATTTGTTTAAAGATAATTATGAGAATACATGGAAGGAAATTAAGAAAGATCTATATAAATGGAGTAGATTGAAACTGTCATTCCTGGGTAGAATATCAGTGATAAAGATGAATATCTTACCTAGAATGTTATTCCTATTCCAAACAATTCCGGTAATTGAAGAGACAGGACAACTCAGAGATTGGCAAAAATCATTATTGAAATTCGTCTGGCAAGGGGAAAAGCCGAGGATTAAATTGAAAATATTAATAGACAAAAAAGAAAGAGGCGGTTTCGCCTTGCCAGATATGAATTTATATTAAGAGGCGTCCTGCCTAGTATGGCTGAAGGAATGGATGACATTAGAAAACACTGAGACTTGTATAACGAGAAGAATACAATATGCCTTTCCTCTCTCTTGCTGAGGTGAACCAGCTACACACACACAGAGGCAGATGCCACATTTGATTATACATATGGCATGGCAAATTTTCCTGTCTCGGAAGCTGCAGCACTGCTGATAGAACATGAACAGATCTTCCTCCCGGCACCTTTCTGATAAGAGGCCTCGCTATGAAATGGCCAACTATTTTCCATCCATCACAATCAAAAACCTTTTAATTAGAAGGATGCAAGTTCAGCTGCCATCCTGCCTTCTCTCATTTATCTTCCATCACCATCACCACGCCTTTCAGGATACAAATCCTTCCAAGGTTGGTTACAAGAAATTAATAAAATCACAACGCCCCCCCCCAAAAAACCCCATTACAACTCATTAGGACTGGACTACTGCCATGCAGTCTATATGGGGCTTCCCTTGTGCTTGATCCAGAAGTGGAAATTAGTGCAGAATGCGAGACCAGGGATGGATCTACACACAGGAAAACCCCCACTATAGATAAGAAATTAAATCGTAAGAAAAGAAAAAATCGCTATGTACAAATTGCATAGAAAATTGATTTGCTCTCCAGTGCCATCTGATGCCATTGCATGTTTATAACACATTCAAAATGTACAGAGCCATGTCACGGATTGGTTACAATACCATCAGTTACATAAAATGTTTAAATTAGATAGGAAAAAATGGTTTTCTGGACCAAAGCTCACAATTCAAAAGAACTATTACAAAAACAAAGAGAAACTTTTCTCCAAAATGTAGAATCTGTTATTAGATTGGGAAACAAAAGATGAGTTTGTTAAAGCCTCAATGACACACTGGGCAATAGATATAGGTCACAATATCGATTTTTAACCTCTGGGAAAAACTCTGGAAAAGTGATTTGAAGTTAATAGCATGCTATTCTTTGAAGGAGAACTACATGAAAATAATGTACAGATGGTATTTAACTCCGAGTAGGCTTGCTAAGATGTATAAGTCTGAATTAGATCAGTGGTGGAGATGCAAAAAGGTTGAGGGAACATTCTTTCATATGTGGTTGACTTGTAAAGGTGTAAGAGAATATTGGGAAATGATACATAATGAACTGAAAAAAATGTTCAAAAGTACTTTCCCCAAAAAAGAGAGTCCTTTCTGTTGGGGAGAATTCAGACTGAAATTCCCAGGTGTCAAAAGAGGTTATTTATGTATGCCACTACTGTGGCGCGTGTTTTTTTAGCCCCAAAATGGAAAACGAGTGAGGTCCCAACCAAAGAAGAATGGCAACTTAAGTTAACAGAATATGCGCAGCTTGCAGACTTAACGTAAGAGAACAAGAAGAACATACGTTTAGAGATTGGAAAACGTTTATGGAATATATGGGAAATAACTGTGCACAACTGAAAACGCTGGCAGGATTAAGATAAATTCAACAGTGTAAATAGGTTTTGATGGATGCAATAATAAAATACTGAATGGTTTAGTTTATGTAAAATATGCAAGGATTTATGTTATGTAAAATGAACCATGGAAAGAAAAGAAGGGAAGTCATTGCTATTTTAAGGTTGTTTAAATGAATATTCTAAATTGCAAAACAGAAAATTTAATGACTATTATATATGTTCAATGCAGGATTGGTGGTTTGCTGTTTGTTTGTTTGTTTGTGTTGTTGTTTGTAGTACAAATGTGTTTGTAGTGTGCACAGGGCAGATAGATGCCAGGAATGAGGTGTGCACCTTCGATGAGGTACCAAATTAAAGACATGCTTTTGAAGGGTGAACAATGTATGTTGACAAGGCCTTGCTCCTGTCAGCACTCACGCTGCAGCATCCTGCACTAACTGCAGCTTCCAAGCACAAGGGAAGCCCCACGTACAGTGCATGGCAGCAATCCAGTCTTGAAGCAATCAGGGCATGAACTATGGTAGCCAGGCTCTCTCAGTCCTGGAATGGCAGGAGCTGGTACCTCCTTTCTCTCCAAGCCCTGAATGCTCTTGGCTGCCTCTCTGCAGCTGTTATGAAGTCCTACAGTTCATTCAACTGCAGAAAGAGGGAAGGAATTGGTAGGGATGTGCCGGCAATTCTCTATTAGGCTAAACCTATTTCTGTTCTGCATCACCTCTTCTAGGCTCAGGAGACTGAGAACCTTCATGAGCATAAAAAAGAACAACAAAGTGGCCCCGCTGGACCACAAGGAGGAGCCTCCTGTGACACCAGGTGAGGAAGTAACCCCCCCACGCCATTTTGGGAAGGGAAGGGCAGGAATAGGCTAGGGGGGCAGCTCAGGGTATAGGATTTGTGGGGGGGGGGGGAAGCTAGTAAGAAAAAAAGTCGAAAGAGCCAGACTGCTGGATCTGACCCAAGGCTCATCTGGTCCAGCATCTGGAAACCCACCCTAGTGGGGTTGATGAAGATGCTACTGACTGAGAGAGGAGAGGAAGCATTTCTAGTGGTTCCAAGATGGCGATGGCTTAGCAAGCAGGCTTCGGAGCTCCGCAGATAACAGGACTGTAATTAGCGTTGTTCCTCCTGCAGCAGCTAGTCATGCCCCTGGAGCCCTTGACTGGGACGTGTATGGCGTCTGATCCAGCTTTCTCTTTCCTCTGCAGAAGGCAATAGCCCAACGACACCAGTCCCGTGTTCGGCCAGCACCTGAGGAAGGTAAACGAATCTCCACACCTTGGGGACTTTTCACTTAGTAGCGTTATGGTTCCTTCCTGAGAAAGACCTCTCAGGCCTTCTTGCTGTGCCTTGCTGGCCTTTTTCACTTCGCCTCATAGGCAGGGCCCTGACTGACTCCAGCTACAAAAGCTGAGGTGGCTGAACCCTTGGATTTGGGTAATGTTTAGAGGGCTTTCCTGAGAGAGGCTGTTAATTCAGTTTCTCATTTCCATTCTCTTCCAGAGGACATCATTACTGAAGATCTGTAGGGTTTCCGGTTCTGGTCTCTGCCATGGCAACGTCTCTCCCTTCTGGGACCAGACTCAGACGGAGGGGAGGGGGTTACCTGAGGTTGTAAAACCCTCTAAAAACCCCTGAAGGCAGTCGGGGGACAAGGCACCTGTGGACGTCTTTGTGCCTGCTCCTGCTGGTCTCAAGCCCTGCGCCGCTGAGGCAGGCTCCACGGCTGCCATTGCAAGAGGCAAAGCTCCTTCACCTCTTGATATATTGGATCAAAATTAAAGGCGCCTCCAGAGGAAATGTGGACAGTGAGCTGCAATCTGAATGAGACTATCGAGATGGAGGGATGAAATTTGAATGTCCTGCCGTGATTGAAAATGGAGAGAAGAGGGGAGGGGAACTTATTATTATTAATTTTATTTTTATTATTTAAAATCTGCAAGGACTTAACACTTACCCCATTTGGTTTAAAGAAATAAAAGGATCTCAAGTGAGGTCTATAAAGAAAACCTGGATGTTTGTGTAAAGCTTGAAATTCCTTTTCTAAAATGGATTACAGACTACGAGAGGAATGGACATAAATTTCCAACATTGTGAACTGTGTTGATACCAGACTATAGACATGACAATAGTTTATAAGCAATGAGAGGCGACACATGGTCTGGAAAATAAAGAAGATTGGACAGGAAGATTTTTGGATAAATGGATCTGGCATGCCAGCAGGTTTTAAGGTTAACCATCAATAAACCAAAATGAATATAGCAGAGCAAAAGACTCTGGATTTAAAAGTGTAAAAAATAGAGTATTTAGGTATTACTATGACAAATATGAATTGTATGTTGTTTCAAAATAATTTTGTTATGACGTGGGTGGAAATCAGAAAGGATATGTTAAGTTGGGAAAAACTAAAACTGTCTTTGCTGGGTAGAATTTCTGTGATAAAGCTAATAACCGGGATGGAGAAGGTATAAAGGACATTCAGGCAACTGGTCCCAGAGTGGTTTAATCATCAATCCCTCCTCCTAGGGAATTGTAGCTCTGTGGGGGGAGAGTATAGGGGTCTCCTAACAACTCTCAGCACCCTTAACAAACTACAGGTCCTAGAATTATTTTTGTGGAGCTGTGACTGTTGTAAAGTGGTATCCTGGAGCTTTAAATGCATGCTGTGAATGAGGCCTCAGAATCTGTACACTCTAGTAACTTCCAAACCCATTTCAGTGTTTTTAAAAGCCCCTGTTCCCCTTTATCTCCGCCTTTTGTTTTTGGTGCTTCCCAAAACGGCCATATTAAGCAGATACATGTCTCATGTTTCCCCAGTCTGTGTTACAGGTTTATGATTTTGTCTCTGGAGGACTGCTGCTTGCCAGCCAAGGGGACTCTGATGGATGGCTTTGCTTTCCCCAGCCACCAACTGATGGGTGCTACAGCTGAATCCACCCTTGCCTTGACCTCTGGGAGTGCACTTTAAGGCCCACCCTGTTTTAAGAGAAGCAGAGATTATTTAGCGCAGGGATGGGGAACTTGTGGTCCTCTAGATGCTGATGCACTTCAGCTCCGATAGCCAATGGTCAGGGATGATGGGAACTGCATCCCAATAACATTTGCAGAGAGACAAGCTCACCAGCCCTGTCTGAAACACTATCTGAAACCGTTCGTGTGAATTAGTAGATGTTTCACTTACGGCAAAGTTCTGGGGTACGCCACTGTATACAGATGCCAGTTGCTGCACATGCCTCTGCGTACATCGCAACAGCAGTACAGAGCCCAAGGTACTTCCCTTCCATGGTGCAGGCGCAAGCTTCTTCGATGCAAGCCTTGTGAAATGGAGTGGGGTCAACCTCAGGAGAAGGTGTTGTTGAACTACCATTATTGTTAGGGTGCAGGTCTGCGGTTCCACTGCTTAGCCAGGCGCCAAGATCCGCTGCCCGGCATGGCGTTGGGAATGTGTCTGCTCTCCACCATATGACCAAGCTGCCCAGAGTGGCTGGGCAAACCCAGCCAGATTGGGTGGGGTATAAATAAATTAATCATCATCATCATCATCATCTACTACTAGTAGTACTATTATGCTTGTGAGGTTGATTAGACTGAAACATAGTGGCTGCCTCATATAGGGCCTTACCAGGCTATTGTCTAAACCACCCCAAAGTCTGGTCGGGGATTTTATGCATAAAAGTGTTGAGCAAATCTTCTTTTCAAAGGCTTACCTGGCTGTGGCAGGCTCTGAACCTACAGCCTCTAATAATTTTGCATTTTTTCTCGGCCCACTCTTTGCAGTATGCATTTGCATCGCATGGGTACGTCTCGGCTATTGTGTCCCAACATGCAAAGCTTGTCTTTCAACTGTTGCCAAACTCCATTGGTCTGGTGGCTAGTGAACCATGCCTAGTGGTGAATTCGTCCTGAAGATTTCCACTGCGATTTCCACAAAGGCCACATAGTTGTCTCGGTATTGCAAGCAGAAAGATATGGTGAGGCACCTCCTAGGCTTGGCTGTGCAGCATCCTGGGCCCTACCCCGGGAGGGAATTGGCCACACCAGTAGGTTTCCTTGGGGGCAGGCCCTCTGTGTGGACCAGAGAGGGAACTGCTCTCTTCTGGTCTGCTCTTGAGGTATAAATAAGAATCTATAGCAGGCTTCCTCAACCTCGGCCCTCCAGATGTTTTTGGCCTACAACTCCCATGATCCCTAGCTAGCAGGACCAGTGGTCAGGATGGGAATTGTATTCTCCAAACATCTGGAGGGTCGAGGTTGAGGAAGCCTAATCTATAAGTTACATATGTTGTTGGGGTAATAACACTAATGAAGATGATGTAAGAAGTTGATGTAACGATATAAGAAGCAGGGTTCTGCTTGCATTATTATTGCCAGGGATATGATCAAGCACAATTTACTGTTAAACAAAATTCTTACGTAAAAATAGTTTAGTGTTTAAATTATCTACATTGTGCTTACCTTCCAGTTTGGCTCCATTATAATAGAAACTTTGGTATTTGTGTCCCAGATCAATGTTATTCCATGTATGTATTTGATTATCAAGTACAGCCCAACTGTGCACACTGTGTATGGTTGCTTGTCAGTTTCACACTGAGAGCTTCCAGGATCTTTAATAAACATGTACTTTCCATCTTCTAGAACAAGGGTACCATTCTGAAATTGTATTTAAAAAGAGAAAAACACACACATGATGGCTCTTGATACTGATACCTGCATGCAAATGACTGAGTTGCAACAAAATATTGCAGTGTGGAGTTCTGATGATGCTCAGTGTTCCAGTAAGTCAGTCACTCCCCACTCCAGGATATTCCATTCTGCCTGTACTCCCACCTAATTTTCTGTCTCTGCTACCACAACAGTCACTATTTAATAATCACTGAGCATGCTTAGCCTTCGCTGCATTAGCGCCTCTCCCCTACCCCACTCCCATGTACAATTATTTATATGGTTTGGCTCTCATCTTAAAACAAGATGGTACTCAATCGGTCATATGGCTAGTTTGTTACAAGCAAAAATCCTTATTTTACAAGCTAGTAGTCAATCAGCTAAAGTCAGTTGCTCCAGTCCATGATGTGTCAAAAATGACTGTTGCACTTAATGGCGACAGCTGTATCCTGAGCTATTCTTGTAAGATTTCAAGCAAGTTCAGGAATTCATTCTCAGTGGAGCACATTCTATACCTCTTTTCGTGGTGCTGAACTTTTGTATGAGCATACGAAACCTGAACACGTGGAATCTCTCATTTGTGAGAACAGGTAAGACTCATGATTCCCTTATGCTTTGTAAGCATCAACATCTGAAGGGTGGAAAAGGAAAACGAAGCACCCTCCCAAAATGTCTTAATGAAATTCCCTTACCTTTGACATAAATGCTGATCATCAGAATTTGGTACAGCACTGTCCATTTCATAATGGTGACTTGTGGTTGCCACTGAAGACTAATATTTCCATCATCATCTGGCTTTTTATAATCTACTACTTGCTCTTGTTTTTCTGTCTTATTTCCTTGATATGCTGATATCCACAATAGTGATAGCTGAATAAACAGCTAATTTGCCTAAAGGAAAAACTGGGATCTCCCCCACAAAGTTCAACTAGAACCTGTAAGGTTGGCGCTGTTACTTCTTGGGACAATCTCAATAAGTACATAGCTGTTTCTGATTCATCACTGTTCTGTCACAAGTTGGCAAAATGCTATTACCAGTGTCCCTTTGCTCCTGTCATTATTTGAGCATCGACAATCTAGGAAGTCCAATAAGCAAGTACAAAACAAAAATGCCAATCAGAACATGGGTTTGTCACTTTCAAGAACTTGTCCTTGCCAGAAGAGAACTTTTAAAAGCCCTTTTTCAAGTACTGAACCTCTGTGTGATCACATGAAGCTTGCTTGTGGGTAGTTAGATCAATACGGTCCAGCAACTTCTTTAAATGTTTGATGTAATCGTTGCTTGACCTACAACAAAAATTTTAGCGGGAGATGTTGAGAATTAAAGCAAAGACTCTCTGTATCCAATACATGTAGTCAACACAGTGCCCTCCAGATATTTTGACTCCAACCCCCATTAGCCTGGCCAGCACGGCCAATGAGGGGCTATATCTGGAGAGAACCATATCGGCTACCCCTGTAGTACCTTCCAAATTCCTGAAGCCCTTTCATAGGAGCTCTTGATAGTTTCAAAGGGGCTTGTGCACATTTGCCAAGATAATTAGAATACAGTCAGTAGGCTATTTTGCGTATGCTATTTGCACTAATTTATGTGTTTTAGGCACACTTTACCCTAACATATACATTTTGTATATTACTTGACTGGAGTTTAATCTTTTGTATTTTATCTTCCTGTATACCATGCCAGCAGCTTCTAGCTGTAAGGCAGTTTATAAATCTGTAAAAGAATCTGTGATGAGAGCAGTTTAGGGGAGAAGCAAGGCTTCCTGTCTGTGCTTCCATCATCAGAGTTCCCCAAAGGAAGCAGCTGTATGTGTGGCTTTGTGGAGGTCCTGGACTTATTTGGGGGAGGGGATTACTGGCATCGTAATTTGATTGCTCCAGTTCACCTCATTTCAGATACATCAAACGTAATGAATAAAATTTTACACGTATTTCAAGTGATATACACATACATTATCTCATTAATGTAACTGATTAATTACTAAGAACAATTTGATTTCAACAGAAAACTTCACTCAGCTTACAGTTATGTGTAGCATCTGTCAAAAGACTTATAAAATGAAATTTGTGTGAAAGTTAAAAAAATGTTTATTTTTATTACATAAAGGTCATGTACAGTCTGCAAATTATACATTCGTATATACACAGAAAATTTGTGGTATATCAACAAGAATGTGTTAAAGCAGAGAACTTCACAATCCTGAATCTGCATGTAGCCATAACATTACAAATAGACAAAAAACAGAAAATGGTAGCACATTATTTTATTTAAAGAGAAAAGAAGCTTAAAAGTATAAGACATTATATGAGAAAGGACAATTGGTCTTACCTGAAGTGGCGTTTTAATAGGTTGCTGATGAGTCGAATGGGGCGCATCCTGAACATCTTGTAAACTATCCAGAGATTGGGGAATCTGAGATCCAACACTGGCCTCTACAACTTGTGGCCTTTTGTTTGGAACTACAAAGATTGAGTAAAGTCCTTGAAATCACTGCTCTGCTGGAGGGTACCAATGGCCCCCATGTTTAGTAGGTGAGGCATGCAAGCCTCAACTGCTGCTCAACTCTCTGGGTGCTTTGGAATTGGAGATGGAATGAAGCTGGATGGGGGACTTGCATTAAGTTTTATGCCGGGGGGGGAGGGGGAAGGGGGACAGGGACGACGAACTGCTCCATCAAGGCAGGAGGAAAAAACTGAGGAGATTCAGCCTGCCTCCCACAATTCTTTGCTCCTGCCTCAGTCACGTGGTGAGAAATTACCCAATCCAGTGGCTTCATCGTCCACCATAGTAAATCAGTCTTTAGCACCCATGCCATTCTTCGCTCAGTCCCTAACAAACTGGGTGGTGTCCTAGTCATTTTCAATCCTCATCCTACTTATTATGCCAATAACTCATCTATCAAAACAACGCACCTACTGCTAGCGTCCACTGTCCCAGATACTATTCTGACTTTTAATCTCAGACATCACCATTTTAACATAAATTGGGGGCCAACCCAGAGAACACCCATTCATTATTATCGGCCAATTAGTTTCAACATTCTACTTCACAATCTTTCTTCTCCTCATACCTATAGCCATTATAATAAAAAACAAACTCCTTAAATGATAACCAGCCCAATAGCTTAAATAACCTAAAGCACTGGTCTTGTAAGTCAGAAATGAGAACTCACCATCCTAGGTCATCAAAAGAGAAGGCCAAAACCCCTCATTGCCAGCCCTCAAAACTAGCATTTTTATTAAACTATCTTCTGTTCCATTCCACCCAGCCACCCCAAGCAGTTTTTTTGCCTCCTCCACCCAAGCACGAATAATTTTTTGCAGTCAACCCCTCACTTGGCTGGCTATCCCACCATTGGTTATGGTTCTTGGGGGACTTGGAACCAGCAGCGCTTGGGAAACGCTGGGAACCCTGTCTAGCATAGAATCTAGTGGCTACGTAATTTTTTCTTTATTTCTTTCATACCTGTTTATTCCTAGGTATAGTTCAAATTAAGGATGGAAAATGTATATGGATGTATGCAAAAAAGAACTTGATAATAATAAAAAAATAGAATCTAGGCTTAAACCTCTGTGGTCTAAACCTAAAGTCCCTTTGCTTGAATTGGTTACGAAAGGCGCAAAAGGACTGGGGAGTAACGCCTGGCATACCTCCTATGCTCCTTCTGACTCATCAGCCAGGGGCGGGTGCAGTAGGTGCGGTCTGCCCCAGGTGTCCCCACTGAGGGGGGTGACAAAATGGTGGGTGGCATTCACCGCGGGGCCTGCAGCGCACCTGAGCCACACGCCCCTCCTGGGAGTGACGCGGTGGCTTGGGCACCCGCACGCTCCGCGCTGAGTGGGAGGAGGCAGGCAGACTCCTCAGTGACCCCGCGGTGCCCATGTGGGTGGGTGCCCGCACCCCCGGGCACAGGGCACGCGTGCCGTCGCAGTCACCCGATCAGCTTGCTCCGCCACTGTCATCAGCACCTTTCTTTTATCTTTAGATGCAATAAGCACATCCTTCAGGGACCCATCCCCAAACCAGTGACTCCCCTCACAAATGGGACAGTGGCCAAGTTGACTTCTGATACTGCATCCGCCCACCAATTTTTTAACCACATAGTGTGGCGTGCCTCGACTTGAGCCAACATTGCCCTGGCAGAAAACTGAGGCACACCCAAGGTAGCATGAGCCATAAAGGCTTGCGCCTTCATGGATAAGATGGATTGTTTCAAGAAGTGGCAGAGAGACATCTCTAGATTTGTCTGGCAGGGCAAGAAGCCTAGAATAAAATTTAAAATATTAACGGATGCAAAGGAAAGAGGCGGATTTGCCCTGCCAGACCTTAAACTTTATTATGAATCAGCAGCTTTTTGCTGGTTGAAAGAATGGCTGCTCCTTGAAAACACAGACATCTTGGATTTAGAAGGCTTTAATAATGTATTCGGATGGCATGCATACTTATGGTATGATAAGGTCAAAGCACATAAAGCATTTAAAAACCATATTGTCAGGAAAGCATTGTTTAATGTCTGGATAAGATATAAGGATTTATTTGAAAATAAAACCCCAAGGTGGCTGTCACCGATGGAAGCGAAGGCTCAGAAAAAGCTCAATATGGAGGTCAAATGGTCGAAATATTGGGAAATTTTGGAACAAGAGGGAGACAAATTGAAATTGCAGAGTTTCGAAAAAATTAAAAAACAAAGTGCGAGATTGGCTTCATTATTATCAAATAATGGAGGCATATAATTTGGACAAAAAAATTGGATTCCAGGTGGAAAAATCAAAATTGGAAACAGAACTGTTAGATCCCAAAACTAAGATTTTGTCAAGGATGTATAACTTGCTGTTGAAATGGAATACTCAGGATGAAACTGTGAAATCTGCTATGATTAAATGGGCACAAGATGTTGGACATAATATTATGATGGCTGACTGGGAACAGTTATGGACCACAGGTATGAAGTTTACGGCATGTAATGCTTTAAGAGAGAATATTATGAAAATGATATACAGGTGGTACATGACACCAGTCAAGCTTGCAAAAATCTATTACTTACCCGATAATAAATGTTGGAAATGTAAGGAAACTGAAGGTACATTCTTTCACCTTTGGTGGACGTGCCCAAGGATTAAGGCTTTCTGGGAGATGATATATAATGAATTGAAAAAGGTATTTAAATATACCTTCCTGAAGAAACCAGAGGCCTTTCTCCTGGGCATAGTCGGCCAATTGGTGCCAAAGAAGGATAGAACAACAGCAGCAAGAATACTTATTGCAAAGTACTGGAAGACACAAGACCTACCCACTCTGGAAGAATGGCAGATGAAGGTGATGGACTATATGGAATTGGCGGAAATGACTGGCAGAATCCGAGATCAGGGAGAAGAGTCGGTGGAAGAAGACTGGAAAAAGTTTAAAGACTATTTACAGAAATATTGCAAAATTAATGAATGTTAGAATGATGTTGGATTGAAATTAAGTGGTTTTTAGCTGTAATATTATAAGGGAATATGAAAAATGGATTATTAACAGGTAAAAGTTTAATGTCACAATATTTTAAGATTAAAGACTAGGATAAACAAAGAGGGGAAGGATTTGCTGAACTAACAAACTGAATTGGAATACAAAAAAAGGAGGCGTGAGGAGGTCCGGGAAACAAGCAAATGAAAGATAAGTAATGGAAAGATTGAGTTGTTTTTAACTACTTTTATTTTGTATTTTTCTTTTTTCTTTTTTCATTTTGTAATATTTTGAAAATCTTAATAAATATCTAAAAAAAAAAAAAAAAGGCTTGCGCCTTCAGTGATTTATTTAAGGTCTGCCTCAGCCTCACAATATCCTGCGGTGGATTTTGCAGTAAGTCATCCAACCAAACTATGCATGCCCTTGCACAAAAGGCAGCTGGGCAAGCCGCCCGCCTAGACAATGCTGTGGCCTCATGCACCTTATGCAAGGCAAAATCCAAATGCCTATCCGTCACATCCTTCAGTTGAGCATCAACTTCCTGAGGCAATAAATTCCAAGAGGAAAGAATGGCATCTGGACAGTCCACAGGAAGAGTCTTAATATAAGCCATGAAATCAGTCTCCAGAAAATAAATCTTATCTGCCAAACTGGTGCCCTTTCTAAACTGCAAAGGAACATCCAGCTCAGTCTTAGCCACCCTCTTTAAATGGCCTGTTATCGGCTATCAGTCAGTAAAGAAATATCACTAGTAGTTGAGGCCTCAGCAGATTTGTCTTTCTGCGAAGCCAAACCTAAAGTAGACATGACCTTGTAGATCACAGTAGTAAAGTTAAGATTCTGGACACATTGGAGTGGTAACTTACTCATCCTGTAAGGAGCCATCACCCCGTTGATGGAGTTTTTTCTCTCCTGCCTCTGTCATGTGAAGAGGGTCCTAATCAAACCCCTTCGGGTCATCAGCAACCGCCTTAAATCACCTTGCTTTACATTCCCACCATAATTCCAGCTTGTTAGAAGGGAAAGATGAATGGTGTGAGAGAGCAAACAGAACATCTCCTGGAATATCAGAATTAAATACAATTTTGCCAAGGGAGAATGTGGGAAAGGGGAAGGCGCTTCCTGACAGGAATATGCTACTGGCATTCAACAGAGAAAGAACAATTGATCTCATCTGAAGTGTAGTTTTGAGAGGGGGGCGTTGCATCCAATGAAGACACTAGACAGGAGCAAAGACTTGTGGTAAGTTTTCCGGATTCGCCAAGCAGAAAGTACCGACCGAGTCCCTAAAGAGAAAAAAAACCCTGCCTACTTCCCCGTTCCCTGGAAATTTCTGTAATAAAATCAGCAGGTGGTGGTATAGTCTGAGCATTCAACTGAGTGGAAGCACTTTTAGGAGCTGACGCCTGCTCTGTATTGTGAGCCTGGGACTGGGGTAAAATTATGGAAGAAAGACGCTTCATTGGAAGAGCTAGGGGAGCAGTCTTAGCACATCCTCCGGCTTTATAGGACATTAAGTGCTTCAGTTTTTGCTTTGCTTTTTTCAGAGGTGGGCGGCTTAAGCCACAAGTGTCCTCCATAGCAGCCATTAAGACAGCAAAGAGGCGTGTGTGTGTGCACGTGCGCACACACAGAGACAGACTCAAATTTTCACCAAATAAATACTCAACTCCATTTGCCACACCGTGGACCAGGAAAAAAGGCAGACGAAAGCTTCACACCGCACACTCCATTAGCCACGCTGTGGACCTGGAATGGGGGAAAACAGAAGCTACACACACTCTCCTTGTGACAACCACCGACCAGGAAGATAAGGACAAGGGGCAGGCACTATGTCTCTGCCAAAGCGAACCGGCAGGGATGTAATAGGAACGCTCACCCCGTTGCCAGTGTCAAAACAGCAAACTGGGAGGAGGTGGTCAAACCGTTTTTAAATAAGCAAATAAGTGGGATGACCAAACCTAAAGAGCAATGGAAAGGGTTTTCTTTTTTCGTGGAAAAAACCACAACGTGCAGACAAAGAACTGTAGAACAAAAACTGTAGAACAAAAACAACGTTAAAGGAAATCTAAAGAAAAACCGGCGGTTCATAATCTAGTAAAAAACTTAGCTGAGTCAGGAGAACGTACTGTGTGTGTCTAGACAAGAGGAAAAACCAAGGGAGTCCAGCCAACTTCCCGCAAGTCTGCTCTTGTCTAGTGTCTCGCGACAGAGTGAACACCCATTCCATTGGATACAATGCCCCACAAACTGAAATGAAGCCATGAAATCATAATTACATTCACAACAATAGCAATCTAAAGTGCTTTAAACAGGTTGGATGCAAACAGGATTATGTAAGTTGAATTGATCTCAACGGGACCAAAGCTGGGCTGTAATCTAGCCCCCATTTACCATAGAGTAAATTCCATTTAATTCAGTTGGACTTAGTGCTGACCTGGCATGTGGTTGTGTCCAATGAAGTTATTCCGACAGCGATTTCCGGCACTGGCATCTGTGCAGATGTGATTTCCGGCGTCGCCGAAGTGAGTCTCCACGCCGCACCAGTTTAGCGCAGCGTGCAAGGACTCGCCAAGCAGGTGGCTTGGCTCGGGGGTGGTTCATGGGCCGGTAAAATGACCCCATGGGCCACTTTTGGCCCAAGGGCCTTAGGTTGACGACCCCTGCTCTATAACACGCCTTTATTTATATCATAATGCTTCAAGTATAAAAATATTGCTTGATTAAATATACATACATAAATACAGCATGGGATAGTGGAATTACTCTAAATGTGGAGTGGTATAAAAGACATTGAAAACCAGATGAAAGGAGTTCAGGTTACATGTTACAGCTGGGTTTCCTAAGTACCTGTCAGGGAACTGCCATCGGACGGAAGGGAGGTGAAAGGGCTCACACAGGTTGGGAGAGACGCAGCAGCTGAAGAGGAAACCAACAGGGAGGTGAAAGGGCTCACACAGGTTGGGAGAGACGCAGCAGCTGAAGAGGGAACCAGCAGGGGGGAGGAGCTGAGCTGGAGGGATGGCTCAGAGACACTTCCAGCGAAAACAGTGGAGAGGTTTCAGGACCTCCTGTAAGAACACCCACTCCTCGCCGGAAACTGTCACGCAGAGATTCCAGAAGACGTGTTTCCGTTAAGGAGCTTTTATGTTGGAAGCGATTACGAAAGCAACCACTGTCGGAATCTGCTAGTGACTAGAGTAGCCATGTCTGAGGGGCTCCGTCACAGACAGAGGTTTGTGGACTTGAACAAACTCTGAGGGGATACGATTTTACGCACAAGCAGCTCATCATCCCATCACAGTACCTTTCACCACTAGAAAATTAAGGCACTGCCCAGTCAATAATATTCTCTATATTTTCAACAAAACTGATGCTGATGCATCCTGAGAAATATTTACATTGCATATTTCAATGGAGCTAGAACAGAAACCTCCTGTATGAGCCCAGTGAGATACGTGTTTTCATAGCCAGTTAATCCAAAGAAATGCTCTTCATTTTTTCTGCTAACTCTTGTCTCAGCTCAATATGTTTTCTCAGGTTTTGCACTTCATGTGGCAGATTAATGTCCCATATAGTCAAACATGACTGTATTCCTGTGAACAAATTGAGGCAAATATGGTTGAAGATATTAATCAGGAAATATATCTCAAGCATTTTTCCAGCTGTTGGGCAACTTAGAAATAGGACTTTAGAAACTTTAGAAATAGGAGCTGAAACAGTCACTTGGGCAGAAATCCTATGCACACAACTGGGGGGAAAGTGCCATCGAACTCAATAAGATTACTTCTGAGTAGACAGGCATAGGAATTCATTGTTAATGGCTAGCAATATGTGCTTTAAATGTACGGTGTGTACCCAGCCTCAGTTCTGCAAAAATTCCTGGATACAGTCGTTTGCAAAGGGTGCTGGGAAATGTAGCTCTGTGATAGGTAAACCAGTTCCCATGTAGCCCAAGTGTGAGAAAGGGACAAGCTAGCCATAATGGCAGCAGACTCATGTGGGCAAAATTTATCTCCAAGCTTATTTTTCATCAGTCTGGTTAAGAAAGGAAAATCTTGCATATATGAGACCCACACGTGAGTGGGATTCCTGATCTCAGAGTTCTATGGTATCTGTAAGTGAAATACTAATCATGGTTGCCTCACATGAGAAAAGTCCTGACTTTTAACCAGGCAGATCCAGCCTTTTACGTGGTTGCATGCAGAAGGTAGGAAAGACCTCTGCCTCCTGAGGCCTGGGAGCAGTAATGGGCAACTCTGCATTTATGGCCTGAATCACTTTTGCGTGCTTTTACCCACAATTCCATTTGATTTTTGCATTAATTTGTGAACATTTAAATTAAAATCTTTTCAAAGCAATTATTTAAATGAGCATCTTGCATGCTTACATGAACTGCATCACAATATTCAGACAAGGGCAAAGCCATGTTCTGATCTGCACTAGTCCAAGAGGTGCGTATCAGGTTATTCTGTGAAGGAATTTGCCGAGTTCTGGGCTGGATGGACCTACAGCCTCACAAGGACACTTTATACTGTATGTGGTTATTTACGCCTGATTCAAACATAATGGAAAACCACAGTCTCCTGTTCTGTGCCTTTTATAAACAAAGCCTGAATTTGGACATAATCAAGAACAGAGATAAGTTTCAAAGCAGAAGTGAGAGGTTTAGATCCCCTTTTTTGATTCACTGAAGAGCAGTGAAACATGTATGAAGAGCCCTGCACAATTGTGCTTCACAACAGAAAACCAAGGTTTCCCATTACATCTGAACTGGACCTTGGTCTTTGACTGGTGGACCTAACAATAGCTATCCATCAGAATGCTTTAGTCAACAAGTTAAGCAGTAAACTGCAATCCTACACACTTACCTGGAAATAAGTCTGCAAAGGTCTGCACTCCTAGTTAATCAGCATGCTATGTGGCATATTAAAACTTTGGGTAGACAGAAATGGTCCCCGGAAAGACTATGTGGGGCTTTCTATTGTGTATTATCGCATTCTGTTGTGTATGATTGACGCCGTGTAACATAAACTTGCCAAGAGTCAGCAGGAGCAGAAGAGTGAATAAACAGCGGTGAAAATATTATCATGGCATGATCTCACAAAAGCTGTACAGATTCCCTTTAAAATGTTTAATACAGAAGGCACTAAACCTTACCTGTGGCGTATTCGCTGTCTTTGCTTTCACCTTTATGGCAGTAGCCCAACACCAGAACTACGTTCTTCAGGCTCCCTTTTACCAAACAAACAAAGGTAAGATATAATCCAGTATCCAAAGTTAAACTTTAATTAGTAACGAATCAGTTTCAGTATTAAAAGTACATCGGCTTGGATCCAGCCCCACCCTCTGTGTGCAAATGGAAAGTATCTCAATGCGTGCATTGGCAGCAGCGGCAGGGATTGTCCTATCCCTTTGACTGTAGTCTCTAATGCCACCCCCAAACCTTTGACAGGGGCTTTTGGAGGAAAGCCGGAAAGTTTCTTTGTGTAAGTAGAAGCAAACTGAGGCTTCTTTAGATTCAGGCCCTGTACTTTGACAAAGTATTATAATTTAAGGCTGCACTTGAGGAAGGCTGCCAAGAAAATAAACAATCAAGAAAGTGCAGAGGGCAAAAATAAACTACAGCACGTATTGTAGAATTATGACAAATAGTACTATTGCTCTAAATTCCATACTCAAGTTTTTACAATCAAGAGGAGGAGACTTCGGAGCTCGGCTTTTAGCTCATGCAGCAAGCCACAGTAAGCCTTACCAACTGCAGTTAATGTTCAGACTTTTTGTTTTGAGTCGAAACACTTACCCGGGAGTAAGTCCCACTGAAAACAATACTTACTTTCTAATAGACATGTATAGGATGACACTGTAAGAATCATGTGGGTAGAGCAATGAAAAAGATCTTTATTAATATCTAACTTGGGAACTGGAGACTGCAGATGCGTTTCCCACAAGCAAAGTGGTCTTGCTCAACTAACACACATTAATTTTAATAATGGAGGTTAGTGAAAAAGGTATATGAGGGTAGATTTGCTGCAGTACAGTGGTACCTTGGGTTACATACGCTTCAGGTTACAGACTCCGCTAACCCAGAAACAGTGCTTCAGGTTAAGAACTTTGCTTCAGGATGAGAACAGCAATCGTGCTCCGGCGGCGCGGCGGGAGCAGGTGACCCCATTAGCTAAAGTGGTGCTTCAGGTTAAGAACAGTTTCAGGTTAAGTACGGACCTCCAGAACGAATTAAGTACTTAACCCGAGGTACCACTGTACTTTCGAAATGGTTCAATATGGCCATGGATCAGATGTTAAAAACTGAACACATATGCGTGTAAAGTAAAAATGAAAATGGTAAACATGTGTGCTCGGTTCCTTGAAGGAAGCAAAGGATAAGCCATACATAAATACATTTCATTCCTGGGACTATGATGATTTCCTGTGAAGCCTTCACTTACCTAACTGGGCTGTCATCATGAATCTAACAGAATCACAGAAATCCCTTATTATTCTTATGGGCCGACGAGTTGAGAGGTCAAGCAGTAAGATATGTCCTCCCCCTGTGCCAATCCAAAGGGCTGTATTCTTCTGCAGGCAG